GAATCAGTGACAGCAAAAGTTGGTACTTAGAACAGTCCAATGAAATTGATGAACTCCAAGCCCAACTGATCCAGAAAAGGCTTAGACAAATTACTAGAAATGGAATGAGAAAAAAAGATGGGCTGGGAATGTGGCTCAAGTGGTAATGCGCTCACCTGGCACGCGCGCGGGGTGCTAGGTTCGATCCTTAGCACCACATAAAGATGTTGTGTCCACCGAAAATTGAAAAATAAATATTAAAAATTCTCTCTCTCTCAAAAAAAAGATGATTATTACTGATGCTGAGGTATTTCAAGATAAAGAAATATTGTAATTTTTTGTCAATAAATTCAACAACAAATGGAATGGACAAAAATCCTCGAACATTTTACCAAAGCCACTCAGAAGGGATAGCAAGAATTAAAAAAAAAAACAAGCAGTGAAAATGGCCACATAAAGATCCAGATAGGGCTGGGGTTGTAGCTTAGTGGTAGAGCACTTGCTTATTAGCACATATAGGGCATTGGGTTYGATTCTCAACACCACATAAAAATAAGATAAAGGTATTATATTCATTAAGAAAATCCAGATAATTTTAAAGAAGTGTATTATTGTCCCCTCATGTAACTATGATCACATCATGGCTCAGAAATTTCAAACTATCAGTTGTTTCAAAGCTCCTAACCCAGGAGTGGGTTTGTCTCTTTGTCTTTAAGCTCCTTGTAAAGCCTAGAAATTCTGCTTCTTCTTAGTACACTTAAGACAAATGGTTAAGACACAACTGATAGTTTAAGGTTTTTTGTTTTGTTTGTTACTGGGGATTTAACACAGCTACAACCTCAGCCCTTTTATTTATGTAGTTTTCATTTTGAGATAGGGTTTCATTAAGTTGCAGAGGAAGTCCTTAACTTTCCACCTCCTACCTCAGCCACCCAGATAGCTAAGATTACTGGCACGTACTAGGCCAGATAATCAATTTGTGATGAGACACTAGAATGCATAAGTAGGGTTTTGAGCAATTTCTGTTACTGGCATTTCCTTTATCACAAACCTTTCTAACACAAAGGAAAAGTGCCTAACATGTTTTCTCACAGATCAGCTCTTTGGGTTTATACTCACCACCTCCCACCACAAAAAAATTCTAATTAAATAATTCAACTAAGTACTACACACTTTTTTCTTTTTTGTCATGCTGAGGACTAAACCTAGGCAAGCATTCTACCACTAAGCTACATCCCCAGGCCACTATGAACTTTTGAAATCATATTAAGCATTTCAACTTGACTGTATCATACAACAACGGCTGAATAGCTTTTTTGTAAGTGTATTAATTAATTGATCAATCATCATTTTGGTTGTCCTTTTTTGCTCATGTGTGATGCCATGGATGGAACCCAGGGACTCATGCATGCTAGGCAAGCACTCTACCACTACGCCTGTCTGTATCTATCTATCTATCTCTCTATCTCTCTCTCTCTCTTCTCAAACAAAGCCTTTGCTAAAAATAATAGCTCCTACAATGGTAAAATGCACATATTTCTTCTAYTCCTGAAGCTTCTTTTTTACTTACTGGATGATAGAGGTATTTTCCTTTTAGAATAATTCACCTTTAAATTGGGTGTGGTGGGGCACACCTATAATCCCATCGGCTCAGAACTTGAGGCAGGAGGATTGCAAGTTCAAGGCCAGCCTCAGCAATTTAGAGAGGTCCTAACAAACTCAGTGAGACCCAGTCTTAAAGTTAAAATTTTTAAACAAGGGATGGGGATGTAGCTTAGTGTACCTCTGGGTTCAATCCCTAGTAGACAAAAAAGTTCACCTTTAAAAGTTAAGAAGCTCTGTCCATAAGAGAATAAAAACCTCAAAACCAACTTTAAAAAATTTTTTTAGTTGTAGGTGAACACACAGTTATCTTTTGTTTTTATGTGGTGCTAAGGTTCTAACCCACTTGCGAGGCAAATGCTTTACCATTGAGTTACAGCCCCAGTCCTCAAAACCAACTTTTATAGAGACAAAATGTCAAGATTAGTMATATTTTTTATATAATCATATGTTTTTATAAAGTTTTAAAGCCATCAAACTTTATAAATTTTGTTGGACATGGTGGTGTACACCTGAAATTCTAGCGACTCTGGAGGTTGAGGGAAGAGGATCACAAGTTTAAAGCCAGTCTAGGCAATTTAGCAAGACTCTGTCTCAAAACAAAAAATTTTTTAAATGGATGGGGATGTAGCTCAGTGATATAGTGCTTGCCTACATATGCAAGGCCCTGGGTTCAATCCTTAGCACACACAAAAAAGAAAAAACTTCATAAATATTAATTTGAAGAGGAAATTGAGGCTGAAATGACTGGCTATCAGCCTCAGTTAATTGGAGAAAATTAAAACTGGACTGTGTCAATTTCTGTAGAACAGTCTTTCTGGTGTTTCTCCACATAAGACCATTTTTTGTGTGCCATTTGTTTGTTTTATTTATTCATTCATTCATTCCAGGAATTGAAGCCAGAAGTGCTTTACCACAGAGCTACATGCCTGGTTCTTTTTATTTTTTAGTTTTGAAACAGTTGTGATCTTACTGTTTCAGCCTCTGGTGTAGCTGTTATTACAGGCATGTGCCATCACATCTGGTGGTTGTGTGCCACTTGTTTTAGGTGTGCACAAAGGTAGAGCTGTTGGTTGGGTTCTACTGATGTGTAATGTATTAATTAATGGATTATTTCAACAGTTACCTAGTAGGTATCTATGAGCTGGGAATATAAAAATGAACAGAAGCCTTCCCTTCTGTGGGAGAACAGGAGTTCTCATTTATTCTTTTTAAAATATATTTTGTAATTGTAGTTGGACACAATACCTTTATATATTTTATGTGGTGCTGAGGATTGAACCCAGTGATTCACCCATGCTAGGCAAGTGCTGTACCACTGAGCCACAAACCCAGCCCCCTCTCATTTATTCTTGATGGAAAGGAATCTGACTACATCTACAAAATCACAGACATCTATTTCTGGAATCACACTCCACCTACATTAGAGTACAGGTAACTCCCTGCAGCTTTCTGTGTAAAATGATTAGAAATTACCCAAAGATCCAGTGAAACAGGACAGGATGAATAAACCACAGGGCTGGGGTTGTGGCTCAGCGGTAGAGCGCTGGCCTCACAGGTGCGAGACTCTGAGTTCAATCCTCAGCAACACATAAAAATAAATAAGTGGGGGCTAGGGTTGTGGCTCAGTGGTGGAGCACACGCCTCCCACGAGCGGGACCCTGGGTTCGATCCTCAGCAACACATAAAAATAAATAAGTGGAAATAAAGGTATTGTGTCCAACTTCAACTAATAAAATAAATATTTAAAATAAATAAATAAATAAGTGAAGTAAAGGTTTGTGTCCAACTACAAAAAATACATAAATACTTAAAAATAAAATAAACTTCACATTAAGGTATAGCCACACAGAGAATATTATGCCACAGTAAACGGTGCAGATTTTTTTCAGTTTTTTTTTTTTCCCTGATACTGGGGATTGAACCTAGCATTGTTCTATCACTGACCTACATCCCTAACTCCTTTCATTTTTTTATTTTGAAATGGGATCCTTAGATCGCTAGATTGCCCAGGCTGGCCTCCTGCCTCAGCCTCCTGAGTTGCTCTGATTACAATACCGCACCTGGCTAACAATGCAGATCTTCATACGCCAATTCGGAGAAAGCCTACTGGGGCTTTCACTATGTTGCTCAGGTTGTTCTCAAATTTTTAGGCTCAAGTGATTCTCCTGCCTCAGCCTCCCAAGTAGCTGGGACTACAGGCATTCACCACTGCACCAGCAGACTTTTTTTTGCAAGAGGAAAAAGCAAAGTTACCTCTAGTACAAAAAAAGGGAGACGAGAATAACCATATCTATTCCCGTTTGTTTGGTTCTGCATTTTTTTTAAACTGGAAGTATAAACAACAAAACTCTAATGGAGGTTTTTTTCCATTATTCTTTCGTAAAGACGTTGTAAATACTACCTGTATTTGTAAATGCCCTCGTGAGGAGCTCATAGCTTTACGGGCAACTCTGTTAGGAAAGGAAAGGTTGGGAAGCTTTCTTGGTTGCTGCCTGGCGAGCCTGGGAAAGGCAGAGGGCAGTGGGCACAGGCCGTTGTATGTTCAGGTACAGCCCGAAATCCATGCTCCTCGGGCAAGAGCCAGCGCGGCCTCCCAGGGGCAGTCCTCAGTGGCCTCGCCACTGCTCAGATTCACTCTGGTCTCCCACATCACAGATGTTCCTCCCAAGCCATCCCATACCCTCCAGCCGAGTACTTACCATGATAACTTCCTCCTAGCAGCACGTTGCCTTCTCACCTTCTCTCAGTTCAACGCTCCACGCTCAACTGCCGACTGCCACGCAGTATGCCAGGTCCTGATTGGCTCATCATCTGCATGACTGCCATTGGCTCCAACAGCTCCAGGGCGGGGCCGCGGGCTGAGCCCCCAATCGTGATGGGCCATCTTCCTTGAATGGCAAAGCAATCCTTCTGATTGGTCTTCACTTTAGGCGGGAAATCCTACTGCATCATTGGCGAGGAGAGGTGGGCCTGGGCTTGCGGTGTTGATGCCACCGGACCAAGAAGGAACTCTGCTTAGGGGAGAGGGACATATTACAGTTGCGTATTCCACACGAACCCTATCTGTTCTTCTGCAAAAATCCGCCTCTACCAAGCTTTACTGGGCGTCCGGATTACAAAGTGGATATCTAATAAAAGACTTTGCAGGCTCAGCTTTATGCAACTATACATAAGGACTACTTGGCAATCTGTTATAGGTGCTGATGATGTTATTAGTATAGTAGGCTGATAAGAATCTTAAGTCCCTATGCAACTCACTCTTGTTTGGTCACATGATCAACTGAACCCAGCATGCTCAGCCACATAGACCTTTTTAAATATTTTTTGGGGGGACAGGGTCTCACTAAGTTGCTCAGTAAATTGCTGAGGCTGACCTTGAACTTGCTATCCTCTGGAACATGTCTCAGCCTCCCAAGTCACTTGAATTACAGGCCACTGTGCCCAGCTTCGGTCATTTAAATAACTCTTATAATGAGTTTATTGAACTTAGTCATCATGAACATACAGATCTTCTCTTTTGGGGGTGGGAATATAGCTCAGTTGGTAGAGTGCTTGCTTCGCATGCACAAGGCCCTGGGTACAATCCCAGCAGCACACACACAAAAGAATCTCTCTTTCTCTTTTGCTTTCTATTTTTTCAACTTTTATATCTTTTCAGTTCTATCTTATTTGAATCATTCTGTGTGTGTGTGTGTGTGTGTGTGTGTGTGTATTTGTTTTTTGGTTGTAGTTGGACACAATACCTTCATTTTATTTATTTATTTTTATGTGGTGCAGAGGATCGAACCCAGCATCTAACATGTGTTAGGCAAGTGCTCTATTGCTGAGCCATAACCCCAGCCCCCTGAAACAACTTTTTATTCACATATTTTTTTGGTACCAGGGATTGAACTCAGAAGTTAGTTACTTCTACTTTGTATCACTACTAATCATTGAAGAGATGCTCTCCCTCTTAAAGATTCTAAATTAAGGACTTGGGATGTATCTCAGTGATAGCATGCTTGCCTACCAAGTACAGATCTTAGTTTGAACAAAGAGAGAGAGAGAGAGAGAGAGAGAGAGAGAGAGAGAGAGAGAGAAAGAGAGAGAGAGATTGGGCCAAAAATACAGAAAGAATTAGAGGTGATGAAGTTTGATTACAGAACCTCATGTAGTAGGAGGATATGTATGATACAGTAAAGCAAACTTGGTTGCATATTCTTGGAGTCTGTCAGGCTTATCTTCTGGCTGTCAGCATTTACATAAATAACTTGTTTATCTTGGGCCTGGAGTTCAGGCTGGCATGCTTCCTGTAAATTTTACAGGGAAAAGGAAGCTAAAGTAGGCATCTGGGTGTTTAAAGGATATTTAGAGAAATTGGGAGGAAATTTTAGGAGTGAAAGTAATTTGCTAAAGAGATAAGACAAGATATTGACAAGACATTTGATCTAGAGGCCCAAATATCCAAAAGATCTTCTGGGGAGGTTAAGGACAAGCAATCAGAAGTAAAGGGCAACAAAGGTGGGCATAATAGGAGAATTTATAATGGATAAAAACTTAAACTTGTCTTCTATATCTAATTTTTGTTCTTTAATCTTGCTAAGGGACTCATAAAGCTAACTGTTAGAAATAACCAGATACCCCAAGAAATCAAACGTGTGCTCAAAAGAGAGTGGGTAAAGCAAACCTTTACTTCTGCCAGAATAGTATGTTACAGGAACCTGGTTAGCAAACCCTCCTGGGTGCACAATCCCCCTAGTTTATATACCTAATGCTAAACTGCCCTTCACCCTGATTGGAGAAAACAATGGAACAATCTACACAATTGGCTAATTTTAGAATTAGGGTAGGCAAAAGGGAAGAACTACTACAATTGGACCTAATTAAGGCTGAATACTATACTCTGAAAATGGACCCCTAGACTTTCTATTTCTCACATAACCATTATATATTCCTTTGTGTGCCTTTTAAAATTTGATCTTTCTATATGTACCAATAGGATAGATTTTTGGAATCAAGTGGTCTTAAAAAAAAAAGAAAGAAAGAAAGAAAGAAAGCACTTGGGCCCGGGAATATACCTGAGTAGTAAAGCGTTTGCCTGGCATGTACAAGATCCTGAGTTTGATCCCCAGCACTGAAAAGAAAAGAAAGAGCAGGAAAAGAGGGAAGGAGGAAGGGAGACAGAGAAGGAGGAAGGAAGTGGGATGGGGTTGTAGCTCAGTGGTAAAGCATTTGCCTAGCACTGCAAAAAGAAAAAAAGAAAAGAAAAAAAAAAGAAAAACAAACAAAAAACCCCACAATCTTTTAGATACAAAACTCTAAATCTTCAAATATATACTTACTTTGTGAGTCTTTTTATGACTTGAAACCAAGAGGCCTTCTATGGTTCAACAAACTATGGACACAAGTGCATTTCAAAGTGCAAAAGATGCAATCTGTTTTAAGATTCAAAATCTCCTCCAAAATAGGCTTAGATAGCAAAGGCCCTCATTGTTAACAAGGCAAGGAAGATTGGAGATAATTAAGACAAACTCCCCTGAGAACTGATACCTTTGGACAAAGAGACCCTTTGTGTTACTGATTCCAGCTGGCTAGCTGCCTGGTACCAGCATGACAAACTGCACCCCTTAGCTGGTGAAGACCAGAATGATTATGTGTTTTGGTCACAAAGTCAAGATCTCAAGACATAAAACAAAAGGAGAATCTTATCTTTTCCTGCTCATGATATAAACCACACAGAAGATAAAGACAAAAGAAACAAAGGGGATTCCTGGGAGGCTATGGATCAATAAGCAATGGGTACTCAGAACCAAATTCACAGAGCAAAAATTAAAAAAATTCATTCCTTTTTAAATTTATTTTTTACATACATGACAATAGTGGAATGTATTACACTCATTTACAGCACAAGTTTTCGTAACTCTGTATATAAAGATGTTCACTCCAAATTAGAATTCATTCTTTTAAAAAATATTTTTCAATTGTCAATGGATCTTTATTTTAGTTATTTATATGAGGTGCCTCACACATGCTAGGAAGGTGTTCTACCACTGGGCTACAACCCCAGCCCAAAGAGTTCATTCTTACAAATATTTTTTTCCTGGCAAAACTAATTTGGAAAGGAAAAGACAAGGAAAAAAAATTTACCTTCCTCTCACAATCAGGCATTCCAGAATGAACTCCAGTAGTGCTCACTTTGATAAGAATTTCTACCTTTTTCTGGCTTTGGCAGTTTTTCCAGGATCCTATCTGCAGTCTCCAGAGCAAATGGGAACACTCCAGACTTTTAGGATCCTATTCTCTTGCCAGAAACTGTAGGGACAGTAAAACTCTAATTCCATCTTCTTGGGGTCTCTTATGGGCCTGAGAATTAAATTGACATGAGACAGATTAACAGGAGAGGAGTGTACCAAATTATTTGATACCAGTTTTACATGGCCCAGGAGCCCTCATATGAAAATGAAGACTCAAAGAAGCAATTACTTATATACTGAATTGGTCAAAGAATAGTAAGTTGTGAAGAGGCAGCTCAATTATGTGGGGATACTTAAAAGATAGGGCTATTTTTAACAAAGTCTGTGTAGAATTCTCTCATCTCAATTTCTCAAACTCAAGGTTAAGGATGTTGTATTTTTCACATGGGCATTTAATCTGATCCTAAGAAATAACATGAAGATCAGGGTTATCCTGCACCTGCTGTTTTTTCAGATGCTTTTTTTTTAGACATATATGACAGTAGAGTGCATTTTGACATATTCTACATACATGGAGTACAACCCATTCTAATTATGATCCCATTCTGGTTGATCCCATTCTGGTTGTACATAATGTGGAATTACACTGGCTATGTATTCATATATGAGCAAAGGAAAGTTATGTCTGATTCATTCTACTGTTTTTCCTATTCCCATCTCCCCTTCCTTCCCTTCATTCCCCTTTGTCTAATCCACTGAATTTACATTCTTTCTCCTCCCCTACCTTATTATATTTTAGCATCTGCATATCAGAGAGAACATTTGGCCATTGGTTGCTTTTTTGTTTGTTTGTTTGTTTGGTACCAGGGATTGAACCCAGGGGCACTTAACAACTGATTCACATCCCCAGCCCATTTTTGTATTTTATTTAGAGACAGGGTCTTACTGAGTTGCTTAGTGCCTCATTAAGTTGCTGAGGGGCTTTGAACTCCCAATCCTCCTGCCTCAGCCTTCCGGGCCACTGGGATTACAGGTGTGTGCCGCTGTGCCTGGTTGGTTTTGGGGGACTGGCTTATTTCACTTATCATGATATTCTCCAGTTCTATCCATTTACTGACAAATGCCATAATTTCATTTTTCTTTATGGCAGAATAATATTCCATTATGTATATATACCACATTTTCTTTATATATTCATCTGTTGAGGGGCACCTAGGTTGGTTCCACAGTTTGGCTACTGTAAATTGAGCTGCTATAAACATTGTTGTGACTGCGTCACTGTAGTATGTTTTCAAGTGCTTTTAAGTTAACTAGTCAACAGGCTATAGTGATAAATGATAAAATGATAAAATGATAATGATAAATGATAAATTTTCTTCTCCATAGAAGAAAAGCACCACTTTGCTTAGTTACTTGAAGTATTAATGTAAAGGAATTGGAATTTTCATGCAGAAGAAAGGACCAAAAGGAGACAAATATAAAGACCATAGAAATAGCTATTTATTTGTGTATTTATTTATTTCCTTGCAGATCTTGGGATAGAAGATAGGGCCTCATGCATGCTAGGAAAGTGTTCTACCACTGAGCTATACTCCCAGCCCTTTTTATTTTTATTTTGAGACAAGGTATTGCTCAGCTGCCCAGGCTGGCCTTGAACTTGAGTTCTTCCTGCCTCAATCCCAAATTGACCAGATTACAGGTATATGTCACTGTGCCCAGTTTTACCAAGCAGTTAACATATGAACCTTTGTGGGAGAATTATCCAAACTATAGAATGAGTTTTTATGCATTATGATTAACAGTGCTATGAAAATTTGCATACAAGTTTTGTATGAACATGTATTTTTACTTCTTTTGGATATACATCCCTGGAAGCAAATGACTGTATAATAAAGAATCTTAATGTTTAAAAATTTGAAGAACTACCCAACTCTTCCAAAACAGCTGCATTCCCCTCAGTAGAGTATGAAGTTTCCAACAATTCCATTTTGTCTCCAACACTTATTATCTGACTTTGTTACTCTAGCTATCTTAATATTCACTACTAAGTGGTGTGTCATTGTGGGAGATTTGTGTTTCCCTAATAACTAATGATGTCAAGAGTTTTTCTATGCTTATTAGATATTTGTATATTTTCTTGGGAGAAATGTTTCCTTCAGATCCTTTACCCACTTTTAAATTGTACTGTTTACCTTTTTGTTGCTTAATCTGAGTTCTTTACATATTCTGGGATACGATCACCCTATCAGATATATTATTTGCAAACATTTTCTCCTGTTCTGTGCTTTATCCTTTCACTTTCTTTTTGCAAGGGTATTCTGGGTTGAACCCAGGGCTTCACGCCTTTTCATTTTCTCAGTGTTATACTTTGAAGCACACAAGTTTTCTATTTTGAAAAAGCTTAAGTTATCTCCACTTTTCTTTGGTTGTTTGAACTTTTGGCATCATATTTAAGAAATCATTGCCTAATCCAAGGTCATGGAGATTAAACCCTATTTTTTCCCTAAGACTTTTATAGTACTAGCTTCTATATTTAGGTATTAGATTTTTATTAATTTTTGTATGTGATAGGAAGTAGGGGATTCATTTGCATGTGTATAGTTTGTTGAAAAGACTACTCTTTCCCCTTCTCAAAAACCAGTTGTCAGGGCTGGGGTTGTGGCTCAGCGGTAGAGCGCTTGCCTCCAAAGTGTGAGACCCTGGGTTCGATCCTCAGCACCACATAAAAATAAATAAACAAAATAAAGATATTGTGCCCACATATAACTAAACAAATATTTTTTTAAAAAACTAAAAAAAAAATCAATTGTTAGGGACTGGGATTGTAGTGCAGTGCACTTGCCCTGCATGTGTGAGGCACTGGGTTTGATCCTCAGCACCACATAAAAATAAATAAAGATACTGTATGTTCATCTACAACTTAAAAAAAAAAAAAAAACTATTGTCTGGCTGAGCCCAGTGGTGCATGCCTGTACTCCCAGTGGCTCGGGAGGCTGAGGCAGGAGGATCATGAATCCAAAGCCAGCCTCAGCAAAAGCAAGGTGCTAAGCAACTTAGTGAGACCCTATCTCTAAATGAAATACAAAATAGGGCTTGGGATGTGGCTCAGTGGTTGAGTGCCCCTGAATTCAATCCCAGTACTGAAAAAAAGAAAAAAAATTGTTGGGGGATGGGGGGCTGTGGTTGTGGCTCAGTGGTAGAGTGCTTGCCTAGTATGTGTGAGGCACTAGTTTAATCCTCAGCACCACATAACAATGAATAAATAAATAAATAATAAATGTATTGTGTCCATCTACAACTAAATAAATTTTTTAAAAAATCAATTGTCAGGGCTGGGGGTGTAGCTCAGTGGGAGAGCACTTGCCTAGCACATGTAAGGCACTGGGTTTAGTCCCCAGCACCACATAAAAATAAATAAACAAAATAAAGGTATTGTGTCCATCTACAACTAAAAAAATATTTTTAAAAATCAATTGTCCAAGCCAGACATGGTGGCGCACGCTATAATCTCAACAGCTCGGGAGGCTGAGGCAGGAAGATCGTGAGTTCAAAGCCAGTCTCAGCAAAATTGAGGTGCTAAGCAACTCAGTGAGACCCTGTCTCTAGGTAAAATACAAAATAGGGCTGGGGATGTGGCTCAGTGGTCCAGTGCCCCCGAGTTCAATCCCCGGTACAAATAAAAAAAAAAATCAATTGTCCATCAAGAGAATGAGAAGGCAAGCCACAGACTGAGAGAAAATATTTGCAAAAGTCACCTCTGATAAAGGACTATTATCCAAAATATACAAAGAATATACAAAGAATTCTTTAAACTTGACAGTAAGAAAATGAACAACCTATCAAGCCAGGCATGGTGGCATACTTCTGTAATCTCAGCAATTTGGGAAGCTGAAACAGGAGGATCAGAAGTTTGAGCCCAGCTTGGATAACTTGGAGAGTACTTGTTTCAAAAAACAAACAAAAAATGCTGGGGATGTAGCACAGTGCTTGAACCCCTGGGTTTAATCCCCAGCAGCACGTAGAAAGAGAGAGAGAGAGAAGAGACAGAGAAAGGGAAGGAAGGAAGGAAGGTAGGAAGGAAGGAAGGGGGGAAAGGAGAAAAGAAAAATAAATGAACAACCATTATAAATTGAGCAAAAACAAAAGATCTGAATAGAAGTCTCACCAAAGAACACACACAGTAGCAAATAAACATATGAAAAGATGCTCAACACTACATTTCATTAGGAAAATGCAAAATAAAACAATAATGAGATGCTATCATATACCATATGCCTATGAGAATGACCAAAATCCAGAACACTGATAATACCAAATGCTGGTGTGGATATGGAGCAACAGGAATTCATTGGTGGTGGCAATGCAAGGTGGTACAGACACTCTGGAAGACATTTTGGTAGTTTCTTAGAAATTAAGCATACTTGGGCTGGGGATGTGGCTCAAGTGGTAGCGTGCTCGCCTACCATAGGTAAGGCACTGGGTTCGATTCTCAGCACCACATAAAAATAAAATAAAGATGTCGTGTCCACCTAAAAAACTAAAAAATAAATATAAAAAAAGAAAATTAAGCATACTCTTTTTTTTAAAAAAAAAGAGTATTTTATCTGTATTTCATTTGTATATATTTTTATGTGGTGCTGAGGATCAAACCCAGTGCCTCACACGTGCCAGGTAAGCATTCTACTATTGAGCCACAACCCCAGCACTAAACATGCTCTCAATATAAATCTAGCAATCATTCTTGTTATTCACCCAAATTAGTTGAAAACATGTCCACACAAAAGCCTGCACATGAATGTTTATAGCAGCATTATTCATAATTGTCAAAATCTGAAGACAATTGAATATGTCCTTCAGTAGATGAATGGGTAAATAAATTATAGTACATCCAGATCATTAAATATTAGTCAATATTATATAGAAATGAACTATCAAGCTATAAAAAGGCATGAAAGACTTTTTTTTTGTACCAGGGATTGAACTCAGGGGCCATTCAACCACTGAGTCACATCCCCAGCCCTGTTTTGTATTTTATTTAGAGACAGGGTCTCACTGAGTAGCACCTTGATTTTGCTGAGGCTGGTTTTGAACTTGTGATCCTCCTGCCTCAGCCGCCCTTTCGAGCAGCTGTGATTACAGGTGTGCACCACCATACTCAGCGCCCAGTCCTTTTTATTTTTTATTTTGAAACAGGGTTGTTGTTGGTGGCCTTGAACTTTCTTTAAAAAAATATATATATAGTGGTAGTTGGACACAATACCTTTATTTTATTTATTTATTTATTTTTATGTGGTGCTAAGGATTGAACCCAGAGCCTTGGCATGTGCTCTACCATTGAGCCCCAGCCCCAGCCCTTGGCCTTGAACTTTGGATCCTCCCATCTCAGCCTCCCAGTTTGGGGGATTACACATGTGTGCCACTGTGCCTTATGGCATGGAGGAATTTTTTTTTTTTTTTTAGAGAGAGAGATAATTTTTTTTTTATATATTTATTTCTTAGTTCAACAACATCTTTGTTAGTATGTGGTGCTGAGGATCAAACCCGGGCCGCACGCATGCCAGACGAGCGCGCTACCGCCTGAGCCACATTCCCAGCCCGAGAATTTTTTTAATATTTATTTTTTATAATACTTTTTAGTTTTTCAGCAGACACAACATCTTTGTATGTGGTGCTGAGGATCGAACCCAGGCCGCACGAATGCCAGGCGAGCACGCTACCGCTTGAGCCACATCCCCAGCCTGGCATGGAGGAATTTTAAATGCCTGTTACTAAGTGGGGGAAAAAAAAGCCAATGTGAAGCCAGGCATGGTGGCACATGCCTGTAATCCCAGCAGCTGGGGAGGCTGAAACAGGAGAATCGCAAGTTCAAAGCCAGCCTCAGAAAAAAGCAAAGTGCTAGGCAACTCAGTGTGACCCTGTCTCTAAATAAAATACAAAACAAAGCTGGGGATGTGGATCAGCAGTCAAGCGCCCCTGAGTTCAATCCCTAATACCCACCCCCCAAAAAAAAGACAATCTGAAAAAGCTACATGCTGTATAATTCCAACTATATGACACCCTGGGAAGGGCAAAATTGTGGACCTTTATTTATTTATTTATTTATATGCAGAGCTGAGAACAGAACCCAGTGCCTCAAACGTTAGGCAAGTGCTCTACCATTGAGCCACAACCCTAGCCCCAAAACTATGGAGACAATAAAAATGATTAGGTGTTCCCAAGGATTGAGGGGAAGGAAGGATGAATAGGTAGATCACAGAGAACTTTTAGGAGAGTGAAACTATTCTGCATGATACCATAATTATATATGGATGTTGTTATACATTTGTCTAAATCCATAGAATGTGAAACACCAGGAATGAATCCTAATATGAGGTATGGACTTTGGACTTTTATTAATGTGTCTATGTAAGTTCACCAATTGTAACAAGTGTACCACTCTGGTGCTGGAAATCAATAGTGGAAAAAGTTGTGTATCTGGGGACAGAGAGTATATGGGAACTCTCTGTACTTTCTACTCAGTATTACTATGAAACTAAAATGTCTCTGATAAATAAAACCTATTTTTTAAAAAATCAACTGTTGGGCTGGGGTTGTGGCTCAGTGGTAGAGCACTTGCCTAACACGTGTGAGGCTCTGGGTTCAATCCTCAGCACCATATAAAAATAAATAAAGAAAATAAAGATATTGTGTCCAACCACAACTAAAAAGTAAATAAATATTTTTTTTAAAAATCAACTGTTGGGACTGGGGATGTGGCTCAAACGGTAGCGCGCTCACCTGGCATGYGTGCGGCCCAGGTTCAATCCTCAGCACCACATACAAACAAAGATGTTGTGTCCGCCGAAAACTAAAAAAAAATATTAAAATTCTCTCTCTCTCTCTCTCTCAAAAAAAAAAAAATCAACTGTTCATAAACCTAAGGATTTATTTCTAGATTCTCAATCATATTCCATTAATTTTTGTCTACCCATATATCAATACCACAGTCTTGATGACTATAACTTTGTAGACAATTTAGAAACTAAGAATTGTGAATCCTCCAATTTTGTTCTTTTTTTTTTTTAAGTTGGACACAATACCTTTTATTTTATTTATTTATTTTCATGTGATGCTGAGGATTGAACCCAGGGCCTCACACATGCCAGGCAAGCACTCTACCGCTGAGCTACATCCCAGGCCCAATTTTGTTCTTTTTCAAAAGTGTTTTGGCTATTTTGGGTCCATTGCATTTCAATATGAACTTTGGGATCAGCTTAATAATTTCTGCAAAATAGGCAGTTGGGATTTTGATAAGAATTTCACTGAGCCCTTGGACTAATTTGGGAGAATACTGCCATTTTAACAATACAAAGTCTGACACTTGTGCTGGGAATGTGGTTCAGTGGCACAACACTTGCTTAATGAAAAAACAAAATGAAAGAAAAGGAAAAAATAGTCGTCAAAGAAGAGTCTTCCATTCTATGAACATGGAACATCCATTTTTTTTTTTTAAAGAGAGAGTGAGAGAGGAGAGAGAGAGATAGAAAGAATTTTTAATATTTATTTTTTAGTTCTYGGCGGACACAACATCTTTGTTTGTATGTGGTGCTGAGGATCGAACCCGGGCCGCACGCATGCCAGGCGAGCGCGCTACCGCTTGAGCTACATCCCCAGCCCTGGAACATCCATTTTTTAGGCTGTCTTTAATTTAACAATATTTAACAATTTCCAATGTACATATTTTACATTTAGTTAAATTTATTAGTTTTTTTCCCCCACTGATGCTTGAGATTAAACCCAGGGGCACTTTACCACTAAACTATATCCCTATTTATATTTTGAGACAGTTTATTGCTAAATTGCAGAAGCTGGCCTTGAACTTGCAATCCTGCTGCCTCAGCTTCTCAAGTAACTGGGATTAGAGGTGTGCACCACTGTGCCCAGCATATCTTAGTATTTTTGTAAATAAATTTATTCTAGGTATCTTATTCTTTTTAGTGTAATATGAACAAAATTGTTTTCTTAATTTCATTTTGGAATAGTTCATTGCTAGTGTATATAAATCTAATTGAGCCGAGCATTGTGGCACATGCCTGTAATCCTAGAGGCTTTGGAGGCTCAGACAGGAGGATCGCGAGTTCAAAGCCAGACTTAGCAGTTTAGCAAGGCCCTAAGTAAAATATTTTTAAAAAGCTGAAGGCCAGGCACACGCTTGTAATCCTAGAGGCTTGGGAGGCTGAGATAGGAGGATCGCGAGTTCAAAGCCAGCCTCAGCAAAACTGAGGTGCTAAGCAATTCAGTGAGACCCTGTCTCTAAATAAAATACAAAATAGGGCTGGGGATGTGGCTCAGTGGCTAAGTGGTTAAACTGCTCAAAAACTGCATTCCAGCTTTAACATGGTTGTTAGTAAACCCTTGGGGGAACTTCCATTATAAAGTTTTCAAGTCTCTTGTTCTGAAATACACTTTTCTAGACTTAAGTGGAGGCATTTTGGGATAAGAGACATCTGCTCAGTTAAGTTTAGGCATTATGGCAGTGGGTTAAAGGAGATATCAGACAGGAAGTGTGAGCCTATCTGAACAGTTCCTCAGGACAACAGAATCAGCAAATATTTGAATAGACCAAGGAGGTTTGCTAAAGCAGAGTGTTCCAAGGGGCATCACCTTGTCTGGGAGTCCACTATCCTGTCACTAGTCTACCAGGCTATACAGGCAGCAGGCTAAGATCCAACCTGAAAACACATATAAAGTTTTTGTGGGGAGCAGATGCCTGCTTTGGTTCTGTTTGGTTTGGCTGGGTTGTTATCATTTTGCTGGCAACAAGTAAATACCTTATTACACTAACTTTTTCTTTTTATTTTCCTTCCTTTTTTTTGTACTGAAGATTGAACCCAGGAATACTCTACCACTATGCTACATCCCCACCTTTTTTTTTTTCAAAGATAGGGTTTCCCTAAGTTGTTGAGTCTGGCTTTGAACTTGCTATCCTCCTTCCTCAGCCTCCCTAGTCTCTGATTACAGGTGTGCACCACAACACCAGGAACCCCAGCCCTTTTAATATTTTGTGACAGGGTCTTCTAACTTGCCCAGGCTGGCCTTAAACTTTCGATCCTCATACTTCAGCCTTCCAAGAGGCTGGGATTAACTTTTTTCATTTTCAAAGAAATGAGTGAAAACAGAAAAAGACCTCTTGGCTCCAAGAATAAATTAACCTGGGGGGAGTCTGATGGTAACACACATGGATTTCCTCATGGTATGAAGTACTCTTGAGTGGGGAGTTACCATTATGGTCCCCCATGGTTCTTCAAAAACTTCCAGGTGCTCCTAGACGAGGAGAGGCTGCTATTGGCATCTGAGGGGCTCTAGGGGTACCCCCAATGGAGGACTGCCTGTTGCCTTTGGAGAATGTTTGCCTACTTATAGGACATTATCTGTAGCTGGAGGCTCAGAGCACCCAGTGTGAATTTTGCTAATTTATAGAACACTCCCAAAAGGCTGCACTCTCCTGTCAAAGCATGGGGGGTGACTTCCTGCCATCCCATTGTAGTTGAGAGGTCAGGGCCCCTCAGCCAGATCCATAACCACATCTCACAGTGCCCAAAGATGCAGACCAAACATCACCTTGTGTTGGGGGACTTGGATGATGCCCAGCTGGATGGAGTAAATGTTTTGGGCTGAATGATCAAGGATGGTATCAGGTACAGTGGAAGCAGGGTAGAATTCTTACCCAGGGACGTCACTTGGCCCTCAGTGAAGGCGGCTAGTCACTTACCTGGTGACTTGGAATTCCTCCTCTGGTGTGTCAGTGAGAGAGATACTCTAGAACCCGGTGAGCTCTGGTCTTGATCATGTGAGGTGTAGGTAGGGTGGGCTATTTGGGTGTGTAATGGCAGGTAAAGCCCGGTGCTGGGTCCTCCAGGGAGTGCGAGTGGCCGAGCTGCTGGTAGAATCCAGCGCCTGGGGGCGGGGGAGAGCCCTGCGCGCAGGCGGGGTTAGCAAGAGGGGCGGGCACAGAGCTCAGAGCGGTGGCTGTGGTGGCGACAGCAGGTGGGTTGCATCGGGTCTTGCGCGGATGGGCTCGGGCGGAAAGCAGCTGAAAGCTCGGATTTCTGGGCACAGGGTCGCGCGCAGTTGGCTGGGGCGGTGGCGGCAGCCGCGAGTGTCAGAGCGCCAGCAGGTGCACCGGGTCTTGGCTCCGGATCCGGAGCTCAGGGCCCAGGGAGCCCCAGCTTCACAGCCACTGACATTCTGGCCTGCCCAGTGGGGGGTGATTGCCATTCTTTGAGGCCAGGTGGTCACTTGAGCCCCGTCCCGGGTTGCACAGCTGCTCCTGTTCCGGGTCTCGACTTCCTGGCCCAGCTCCCAGGAAGCCTCCCATTTCACCTTGCTCTTGGATCTCAGACCACAGAGCTCTTCCCAGACTCTGGCTTTCCCTACCCTCAGGACTACCTAGCTGGTACCCATGTGGGGCTTTGCCTTATCCCCTCCACTACCCTAAAGGCAGACAGGACCTCCAGGCTTCCTTGTAACCTCCTGTCCTCTGGCCTGACTCCTGTCCCATCCCAACCCTCCAGCAAGCCCATGATGCAGGTGTCCTAGGTCTCCAGAGCTAAGATAAGAAGAAGACTGGGGAGAGGCAGTACAGAAGGAACTGAAGGTTGGCTAGTACCTGGCTGAACAACTTGTCATTTCCCTCTGTCTGGCCCTACTAGGTTCCAGTGGCTAGTTTGGTGCACCTCTTAACTACCCATTATGGCCTGGGGACTGCACAGTGCTGCTAGCTTGGCACACTTCTGCCAGAAGCTGAATCGACTGAAGCCTCTGGAGGATTCCAGCATGGAGACGTCTCTGCAGCGCTGCCTGTCCACCTTGGACCTGACCCTGCTGGGTGTGGGTGGCATGGTAGGCTCAGGCCTCTATGTACTCACGGGTACCGTGGCAAAGAATATGGCTGGTCCTGCTGTACTCTTGTCCTTTGGTGTGGCAGCTGTGGCCTCCCTGCTGGCAGCCCTATGCTATGCAGAATTTGGAGCACGTGTGCCCCGCACAGGTTCTGCATACCTATTCACCTATGTGTCCATGGGCGAGGTGTGGGCCTTCCTCATAGGCTGGAATGTGCTCCTAGAATACCTTATTGGGGGTGCTGCTGTGGCCCGTGCCTGGAGTGGCTATCTGGATGCCATCTTTAGCCATGGCATTCGCAACTTCACTGAGTCTCAAGTGGGTGTCTGGCAGGTGCCCTTCCTGGCCCGCTACCCAGATTTCCTGGCTGCTGGCATCCTACTTCTAGCTTCTGCTTTTGTCTCCTGTGGAGTCCGTGTCTCCTCCTGGCTCAATCATACCTTCTCAGCCATCAGCCTGATGGTAATTATCTTCATCATCATCCTGGGCTTCATCCTTGCACGCCCCCACAACTGGAGTGCTGAGGAGGGTGGCTTTGCACCCTTTGGCTTCTCTGGTATCATGGCAGGAACTGCTACCTGTTTCTATGCTTTTGTGGGCTTTGATGTCATTGCTGCCTCCAGTGAGGAAGCCCAGAACCCACGGCGGGCTGTGCCCATGGCCATTGCCATCTCCCTTGGCCTGGCAGCTGGTGCCTATATCCTCGTCTCCACCGTACTAACCCTCATGGTGCCCTGGCACAGTCTGGACCCTGACTCAGCACTTGCTGATGCCTTCTATCGGCGGGGCTACAGCTGGGCTGGCTTCATCGTGGCAGCTGGCTCCATCTGCGGTAAGGGGTCCTTCTGGGCAAGGTGGGAGAGAACAGGGCAGTGGGGTCCTGTCCTGAGCCTCTTAGAAAATCTCCACCTTGGGGCTGGGGTTGTGACTCAGTGGCAGAGTGCTTGCCTAGCATGCACGAAGCACTGGGTTCGATTCTCAGCACCACATAAATGTAAAATGAAGATATTGTGTCCATCTAAAACTTAAGAATAAATATTTTTAAAAAAGAAAATAAAATCTCCACCCATACCTCAGTCTTACCAGTTGCAAAATGGGCCTGGGAAAGTGCTAATTATTGGAGGCTTTCACCTAGGCTTGTTGGAAGGACTCCTCCTATGGGGCTCCTCCCCCCAAATTGTACATAGAATGTCAATTCTGAGCATGTACTTACAAGCCTTCTCCTGGGCAAGGGGGCTCAGTTTTTATCAGATTCTCCAGTGGGCCTATGACTTAAATTGGAGTGCCCTATTCCTGGAGTGGGGGAATGGTAATCTTGTACTTCATACACATTCATACTAAAAGCCCAGACAATCTCATCCCTGTGTCTCCAAGGAACCACCTAGGCCCCAGACCCCAACAGTGACCCCTGATAGGTTTAACTATCATGATGACCATTGCCCTACCCTCTGCTACAGCCATGAACACCGTTCTACTCAGCAACCTCTTCTCCCTGCCGCGTATCGTCTATGCCATGGCTGCAGATGGGCTCTTCTTCCAGGTGTTTGCCCGCGTGCACCCCCGGACACAGGTGCCCGTGGTGGGCATCTTGGTGTTTGGTGTCCTTATGGCTCTCCTGGCACTGCTGCTGGACCTTGAGGCGCTGGTCCAGTTCCTATCCATTGGTACTCTATTGGCCTACACCTTTGTGGCCACCAGCATCATTATTCTACGTTTTCAGAAGGTTTCTAAACACAGCTCCCCAGGCCCAGCCAGCCCTGGCCCTGCAGCCAAGAAGTATGATTCCTTCTCAGACCACATACAGCTAGTAGGTGCTGTGCAAACCTCAATTTCTGAGCCTGGGCAGCTGCGACCAGCCCTGAGGCCCTACCTGGGATTCCTTGATGGATGCAACCCTGGAGCTGCTGTGACTTGGGCACTTAGCATCCTGGTGATCTCAGCCATCGCCCTGGGCTGTGTGCTAGTCTTCGGAGACTCGGCCTTGCACCTCCCACGGTGGGGCTACATCTTGCTGCTCCTGATCAGCAGTGTTGTGTTTCTGCTTTGCCTTCTGGTCCTGGGGGCTCACCAGCAACAGCAACAGCAAGACACTTTCCAGGTACCTTCCCCATTCAGGATCTGCTCAGTCTTACCCCTGCCAGCTCCCTTTGCCCCTTCTTTTTCTGCCATTCCATAATGAACAAGGGCTCATGAGGTTGGGGAGGCCAATCCATCCATCCTCACTTTATTCATCTTTCCTCATGGTGAGGGAGTACATTCTCTCCAAAATTTCCAGAGACAGATGGAGGCTCTATGAAATTTCTGTGAAGTCAGGCTCTGGGCTGGCAGGTCTTTCCTTCTGTCCATCTCAGCCTTGTCCTTATGCCCTCAGATCCCCTTGGTGCCTTTGACTCCAGCCCTGAGCATTCTCCTCAATATCTGCCTCATGTTGAAGCTGAGCTACCTGACCTGGCTGCGCTTCTCCATCTGGCTGCTGATTGGTGAGTGGGGGCAAGGCTAGGACATCTAGTGTGCTACAGTGGGAGGACAAAGAAGGCAGATAGGGCTGGGTCCTATCCCTCAGGCTCTTTTCAACCTTGCAGGACTCGCTGTGTATTTCGGCTATGGCATTTGGCACAGCAAAGCGAACCAGCAGGAGCCACCAGAGCTGACCACCACACGATATGTGGTATTCTCCAGCAGCAGCCTAGAAGAGACAGTGCAGCCCACCAGCCAGCCACCAGCTGAGGAGCCTGGCTGCATGGAGTAGCCGACCCAGTCTGTGAGGCCAACTCATGATTGTTTTACTCTCTCCATCTCAAGAGGCCAGAGGAGCTGGGAGCTGCTTCTGTTCAGGGCAGCTTGGGTTTGTAGGCTCTGGTGGTTCTCAGGACTTTAGGACCCTAATCCAGATACTAAATTTCTTTGGTCTTCAGATAATGGGTCTTGGCCAGTGTTGGTGCAGTGAACTCCTTGCTCAGCACCTTCCTGTTTCTGATCAATTCCAGCTATTTGGGTGGGTGGGTAGGGTGGGCAGGGAAGAGGTCGCAGCCCCAGGAATTCATAATAATAACTGTTCAGCCAGCCATATGGTCAGCCACTAAGTCCACTGTGGAATTCTCTGTGATACTGAGTCCTCACCTACCTTTGGGAATCAGGCAATTGTTCCAAATCCATAATAAAGACTGAAACTTCTACAAAGGTTACCTTGGGACCACCTTGAATCAGGGACACAGCCAGGCCTGGGTTCAGGGATTCTCCCTCAGGCCAGTACTCCCTACTTGACTTAGAGGGAAGCAACATATACCAGACATATAGGGGTCAAACGGGCAAGGATATTCCCCACGTATCCTCTGGCAGATAGATCAAGGAGCAGAGCCTGGGCCTCAAAGAGGTTGCCTAGAAAAGGCAGTGGGGTTCCAGAGTTCTCTTGGTTTTTCAGGGATCCCAGAGAGCACAGCATATTCCTGAGGTCTACCTAGGAACATCAAAGCACTCCTGCACACAGGCATATACCCTCTTGGCACAAACATCCCTAAGACATATGGCTCACATGGATATCCTGCATGCCCATGTGCAGACTGAAATGACAGCTGTTTCCAAGCTCAGGCCCAGCCCACAGCTCACATTTGTCTCTATCTGCCCACTCTGCCAGGGCTTTGAAATGAAGGCTGGAGATGTTGCACTTATGACTAGTTCACACGGATGTTCATGGGTATACGAGAACCTGGACCTGCCTTCACTACCTTCCAGCCCACTTGGTAGAAATGGGAGCCCTAGCCTGGGGAGGAGGGAGTTCCCAGAAAGGCCATAGGCCCACATTATACCCTCCCACTGGTATTCCTTGTCTGTACTATGCCCACTGTAGTTGCATCCCCCTTCCTATTTCTTCTTGTAAGGACCACACAGGAAGCTGCTGGTTTTGGCAAGCTTTACTCCAACATATCATCTTTCTCTGGACCTTGAGAACAATCAGGTACATGTGATCCACCTCAGATAATCAGGCTTCATGAGCCATGCCTTCCCAGTCTACCCCTTTGGAGCCCACCTGCCCATGAACACCGCTGCCCTGGACATTGAGAAGCAGCAGGGACCCCCAAGGACTGAGGCCAGATGACTCCAGGTGCTAGTCCAACTTCAGCCTTAGCCTTGGCCCTCAGTGATAAAGGCATCCATGATAAAGCAACCTTTTACCTCCCTTAGGTGAGTACTTCCAAATCCCTGCCCTACCCAGGGACCTACATTCCTGCATCCCTGTCCCTCCCATTCTGACCTTGGGTCCTAGGACTTGGGGAAAATCTCCATCAGGCAGGACTTAGGCCCCCCAGGAAGATTCCACAACCAGAACCTGGCCAGCCTTCAGCGGACCTCAGTGTCCTTTATTAGGGACATTCCTTACAGCCACTGTGCTCTGCCTGGGTCAGGATTAGGGCCTCCTGCATGCATATGCCTCAGGCTAAGGTGGGCAGGTGCCCAGACAGGTTATTGAGTATGACATGGATGGCAGTAAATTCCAGATATACAGCCTCCCCACCTCCAGGGCTCCTAGGAAACCTGGTAATCAGATTCTGGGGTGGGGGGTTAGCCTGGGTGATCTCCAAAGGGATATACAGAAGAACAAAGGACCCAGTGACCACCAATTCAGTCCCATTGTCCTCTTTTCCCTGTTTAAGCCCTCCAAAGCCCAAAGGCTGTCACAGGGAAGTGGCAGGTGGGCGTAAGCTAAGCATATGTGGGCCCTCTTTCTATGATGTAATGAAAATGTCCAAAACTCACCCCACCTCCATGGCTTGTGTTCTACCATATGTCTCTAAACAAAACTGGCTTCCATAGCTCCCCAGGCAGCACCCTGCTATGGCTGGACTCAGGAGGTAAAGTCTGCCTGGGAGTTCAAGAGTGGCATTTTCCCTCCACTCCCTACCCCAGTTCTGTTAAGTTTCTCATCCTTAACGTCCCCAAGTCAGGACCTCATCCTTCCCAGCCCCCAACCCCCCAAACAACATGGAGTGCTACAGGCCTCARGAATAATCAGGTAAGTGGATACCAGAGCCCAGACAGGACCACCCTAGCAACCAAGTCTGGCTCCCAGTAGCAGCTACCATGGGGGCGGGTGCTGGCCCTATCTAAGGCACCTGAGCAATGGGGCTTGCAGGTGTGAAAGCTGGCTTGGTCCATTCAGGATTGGCAGCCTCCTTTGGTGCTTTTGCCTAAAGACAAGACAGTAGGTCAGGGATCTGGCCAACATCCCCTAGAATGTGGCAGAACCCAGTGTTCAGGCAGAGTGGCCTCAACTCTGGAGCTCCAACTCTGAGCCCTCACTCACCTCCTCATACTTTGTACTCCAGTAGAAATGGGCTTCTCTATCCACATACAGTAGCAACAGGTCACAGAGGAAGGTGATCTGGGAGAGACAGGGCCCACCATGTTCTGCCCTCCTGCTACTACCCAAGCCTCATCCCGAGACGCAACATGCAGGCTCAGAGGGTTCTAGCAGACTCAGGCAGGTGCTCAGTGCAGCCAGAGGGAGCCCGTGGTAGTTGGACTTACCACACCTAGCCAAGCAGCTCCAGTGCCCACCGTGATGGCTGTGGGGATAAGCCCGAACTTCCCTGCCTGAGAAAGACCTGGGCTGAGCGTCTCAGACTATGACTTTTACCACAAGCCTCCTTCAGGCCCATCTGTCTGCCTTCCCCAAGCCCTGGCTCCATCCCTACCTGCCCAGTGACGAGAATGTCAAAGCGGATCCCGTAGAGCTTGAGCAAGCTTCGAGCTTCCACACCTGGGGCTTCCCACCAGTGACTGGCTGTCCTGGGAGCAGAAGAGAGGGCTCTGGTGGTCTGCACTGCCCATTCACAGTTTGGTCTGGTTTTCCTGGGCCTCCAATTTTACTTATGTATTTGCCCCATAAACTCCAAGACCAACCCTGAGTCCTAGTCTTAGACCTACATAGTTGCTAAGAACATAGGGAAGAAACAAACTAGGACTGGACCCAAGGAAGCTCCCTGCCCTCTGGAAAAAGTCAGAGAAGCCAGATGAGGGTATAGTGAACTATGACATGGGATCTAATTCCCAGGCCTATTGGCTATGTGCACACATAGGAGTTTCTATGTGCAAATCAAGGTGACACTAGATGACAAAGGACTGGTAGGAAGGGGAGGTCTGTGTAGGAAGACAAAGACATGACAATAAATTCATGTTGAGTGAATCCTCAATTGTAAAATATAAAGTCTTTTTTTTTGTAGTAGATATTTTAACCCAGGGGTGTTTTACCACTAAGCTATATCCCCAAACTTTTTTTGGTTTTTGGTTTTTATTTTGAGAGAGAGGGTCTCATTAAGTTGTTTAGGGCCTTGCTAAATTGTTGAGGCTGGCCTTGAACTTGGGATCCTCCTGTCTTAATCTCCCAAGCCACTGAGATTACATGTGTGTACCACCACAACTGGCTTGAAAAATATAAAGATTTAGCACATTATTAGCACCTCTGGGAAAATAGAAATATTAGATTTAATCTGTTAGTGTTCAGTTTCTTGGGTGTAACAATAGAATGGTCACATGGAAAAGATCCTCATGCTCAGGATCGTGTTAAGAAGGGTGAATGTCTACCTGCCATTTTCAAATAGTTTTGTGTGTATGTGTGTGTTTGGTGATGGTTTAAGAGTTCTATCACTGAGCCACCCAAAATAGTTCTGTCTGAAATCTATCTAAATATATCCAGCTTACTCTAAATAAAAGTAGGAAAGCAAACATAGCCAAATGCCAAAAAGAAAACAAAAACTGGTAAGCCCAGGTGAAGGGTATATGGGTGTTCACAGTACTTTTTTTCTTTGAACTATTCTATAAATTTTTTGAGAAGTTTTAGGTAAAACCATAAGTGGAAACAAAACAAAAGTCTCCCGTGCCTTGGAAGGAAGATGCTGGAGGCCAGGAGGGGTGGAGAAGGAACCATGCCCAGGTCTAGAAGTGAAGAGTCCACACTATGAAGAAGGGATGGGGACAGATGGGGTGGAGGACTCAGGGACAAGGCTGGATGCAACCTGTGCTGGAGGATGAGGAACTGAGAATACCTTCTTCAGCCCATGGGCCACCCCTCACAAATAGAGTGGGGTATCCAGAGGGCTGGACAAGCAGTGGTCTGTCCTCACACTGGCCTGTGAACAGCAAGTAGACACTGGGGGCTATGAGGGTCATACCTGAAGTTGTAATTCTTCTCCTGCAGCTGGAAGGAGTAATGGGGCCAGCAGTCAGAGCACCCGGTGTCCAGGTCACAATCCCAGTGGATTCTGATGCCTACAGCACCACCCTGCACACAACACATCTCTGCTTACACAGCACTAGTGGATGGGCCTGAGGCCCTCTCCACTAGCCCTTAAGAAACCCTGCCTCCAAGAACCCACCAGCAATGCCAGGTCTTCAAAGTCCCCACCAGCTGCAGCTATAAGGTCTCCTATGCCAAACACGGGGCAGTAGGGGCTGGAGAGTGCATCATAGCGACAGTGCTTAAAATAGGCGGAGTCCCAGGTATCTAAGGCATTGGTCCTGCAAGGAGTGGAGGTAGGGATCAGATGATCCAGGGGGTCATGGAGGACCTGGGGTTAACCAGCACCAGCCCATACATACTTGGAAAAGTTGAATTTGCTGAAGGTGACAGTGTTTTTGATGAACAGCGTGAAGTTCTTGGCATGGATCAGCAGGGGCCTCCTATAAGTAGAGGGGACCATGTTAGAATTTTGCCTGTGCTGTTGCCTTGCCTTGGGAGTCAGTAGGAGACTTACTTGGGCACAGTGCCACTCTCCACTGGGCACCAGCTCTGGATTTCACAAGTCCTGTGGGTCCCGTTGAATTCCACACATTGACCTGTTTTTATGCCTTGAAAACAAAAGATGTACTCTAGGTCCTCAAATCTCCACAGGGCCTGAGGAGGATGTGGAACAGATTTGTTGACAGAACCACACCCAGAGTCCCCTCCCACCCCCTGCCCTGGTAGAGGTTCTGAAAGACAGAGCTTATAGTTACCATGGCTGTGTGTCCCTGTCTCCCCTTTAGGACAGTCCTCATTGACCCAGCAGTTAGCCAGCGGGATAGAGGGGTGCTGAGGTAGACAAGAGACTCCAGTCACCAAAAGCCCAAGGGGGTGCCTTCCCTTAGCCCTATAGACTGCAAAGAGATGCTTCTCCCCATGTTAGCCTCCTGTGATACCCTGGCTTTGGAAGTACACAGCACACATGGCTGGTGACCCAGGACTGGTAGAGGAAGTAGGGACCCACTCTCCCAGGCAATCTTACCTCTGGGCATTTGCCCTGAACTTGATCTGGCGTCACAAGGAAATTGGTGACCAAGAAGAACACGTTCTCTCCCTAGGAGGCAAATCTCAAGGTTGGTCCCTACTTGGTTCCCTCACCTGTGGAGGCCAGAAGCTGACAGCCTGGTTTTGTTTGTTTGGGTGGTGCTGGAAATGGAACCCAGGGTTTGCACATGAACACTCTATTGCTGAGCTACATCCTTAGGTCTAGGAGTCTAGTTTTTGAGGGAATAGTCTTGGCCCTATCTAGTAACCAACCAAACTGTCCCTCAAGAAAATGTTTCCAGTGAGGCAGGTGCAAACAGGAAGCTGGCTGGGTTTCTGACCATTTCTGAACCTAGGGATCCTCGTGTCCATGTTTATCTTTTAGTTACCAGTTTATTTCTCACATTTATTCTCATTCACTCAACTTGAATTTTCCAAGAGCCTCCTGCTTCTAAGCATTAAAGACAAAGACTTGAAGAGAGGTGGACCCCTTATCACATGTACATCAGAGCTGGCAATGGCAGGGGGTTGGGAGAGCAGATGGTAAGCTTGACCTGGGGTCAGAGTGGCCAAGGACATGCAGAGGTGCTGCTCCTGAGAGCATGGTGCACTTAGGAAAGGAAGATAAGGGCTAGGCAGAGGGCATTGGGGCATGGCAACAGTTAGGATATGGAGGGTCTTGGTGGTTACCATCATGGGAGAGGACCCTTCCCTGGGCAGAGAGCAGTGGTTGAGGTTCTGATGATGTTAAGCGTAAAAGTTCAGCCTGGCTGCTGCTTATGTGCACCTGGTGGCAGGGAATAGGGGAGAGAATCAAAGGGCCCACTCAGAGACCAGGCATGGTAGAGGTTGCAGTGAAAAATAATGGGAGGGACAGGAAGGCATCTGGCTTTAGCACTGGTGGGTGTCACTGCTCTCATTGGATGAATAGAAGTGAGAATGCCAGGAGAGGTAGATGATTTATCTTTGGACATGGTGGGTGAATCTGGAATCAGCTTCTATTCAGGCAGGTGGTCACTGGGGCTATAATTTGAGCATCAGTGGAAGAGAGGTGGACATTGGGGATATAGACCAGCTAGGTAGAGGGATTAGGGACAGAAAGCCCAAGAGGGTAGAGGAGGAACACATGACAATGATGCCTCAGGTGAGGAAGCTCAGCCTTTGGACCTTTATAAAGGAAGTTACTTTGGCTTGGCTTCCCTTATTGTTCACCAGGAAACCTCCTACACAATTCCTGAAGGCCCCATCTAGGCAACACTCCTCTACATGCTCCTTCCCAAACCAGATGCACTCTGATATCACATGCCTCTCTTGTGCATGATTTGTATTAGAGCTGTCAGTAGGGGAAGGACTCATGCCACCTGAAGCAGCACTAGGGACCTACCTGTGGTGGTTTCACGAAGTCAGCCACATCCCACAAACGGTTCCCGAGCTCCTTGATCTGAGTCACAGAAACTCCTTTGAGTTTGGTGATGACAGAAATCTGGGGGTCCAGGTCCCGTTCTTGGTAGCCTTTTTTTGCAAGGAGGGCCCATCTGGGGAGGAGATGATGGACAGTATGGTATGACTCTAGCAAAAGTGAACAGTGGAGGAACTGGATCCTATAAGCTCAACTCCCTTCCCATACTCCATAGGCTCCTAGCCCAGCATCAAAGCCTTCTGACTCCTCTCCAGTATCAACTGTCACCCCAGATACCCTGAACAGACCAAAGCCTTGGACAATCACTGGAGAGTCAGCATCTACCACAGTGACTTTTTAATATTTATTTTTTTTTAGTTAGAGTTGGACATAATACCTTTATTGTACTTATTTATTTTTATGTGGTGCTGAGGATGGAACCCAGGGCCTCATACTCGCTAGGCGATCACTCTGTTACTGAGCCATAACCCCAGCCCCCACAGTGACTTTCATAGACAATATCCTTACTCCTACCCCAGCTAGACATAGCTCCCTCCTTAAAGACTCCTCTGACCTCCCAGATAGAACTGGTTGTCTCTCTGGGGGACCTCAGTGCTCCAGCTCTCATGAATCTAGAGGACTACTGCCTTCTGCCTCACCAGGGTTCCTCCCGGGCAGGAATGGGACTGATCTTCCTGTGTCCAGAGCCCAATATGAGACTAGGAATAAGGCCCTGGAAAGAAGGCAGGAGGGCAGGCAGGAACACAAACAGATTATTCTGAAAGCCTTGGAATGGACAAAGATCCCTCATTCTGTTTACTTCCAACCCTGTCCCAACCTGCTACCCCCACCACCACCAGCCTGGTCCCTAAAGAGTCAAATTCTCAACCCTCAGCCCAATAGGACCAGCCATGATCCCTTCAGCCAACCTGACTAAAAATTATTTTCTCTTACCCCACCACGTAGGCCACAATCCCGAGCTGCAGCAGCCTCTGTAAGGCGCCCACCCGCCAGTTCCTGGTCATCACATACTTCTCTGTCTTGTAATCCAGAAGCCCCCAGCCTGCTGAGGCCCCTGAGGAGCACATGCCCCCAGTTTCTGCTGGCTACTGGTGCAATGAGTCAGCACAGCAGCTGCAGCCACAGCTGATCGGGAGGCAAAGAGTGCATCCAAATGGGCCAGGCTAGCTGTTGTTAAAGGGACACCTCCACTTAGGAACTAGCCTCCACCCCCCAGTTCTGGACTTGGTCCCAGGCCCAAGCTGTCCTGGGCCTCTCCTACTCTCCAGAGTTCCTCTGCTGATCCCTGGGTACTCCAAAAGGAGCAGCTCTGCTCCTGCCTTCCTGCTATACTTCCTTATAGGGTGGGGAAGAACAGGTGGCATGGGGTCAGAAGGAGCTCAGAGGAGGAGCCAAGGCAAGCTTCATAAAGAAATCCCTCTGAAGGCTGGGGTTATGGCTCAGTGGCCTAGCACATGTGAGGCCCTGGGTTCAATCCTCAGCACCACATGAAATAAATAAATAAAATACAGGTATTGGGTCCAACTAACTACAACTAAAAAATAAATATTAAAAAAAAGGAAAAGAAATCCCTCCGAGGGCTGGGTATGTGGCTCAGTGGTAGAGTGCTTGCCTAGCACACATGAGACACTGGGTTTGATACTCAGCATCACATAATAAATAAATTAATTAAATAAAGGTATTGTGTCCATGTATAACAAAAAAAAAAATTAAAAAGAAGAAATCCCTCTAAGCTGATATGTGCAGATTTTGAAACACTGCAAGAAAAGTTGGGTAAAGATGTAGGGTGGAGGGTCTGGGGTTGTGGCTAAGTGGGAGAGCACTTGCCTAGCATGTGTGAGGCACTGGGTTCAATTCTCAGCACCCCATAGAAAGAAAGAAGGAAAAAAAGAAAGAAAGATCTATCATCAACTAATAATAATTTAAAAAAAAGATGTAGGGTGGAGAGAACAGCATAGAAAAAGCCAAAGCATGAGAGAGAACTGAGAGCCACAGACTGAGAATGTGGTCTAGCTCCAGAGAGGAGGGTAACCGGGCTCTGCAGGTTCCCCATGCCCTCCCATACAGCTGTCTCCCAACCGCCAAGTACAGTGACTAAAGCACAAGCTCTGGGGTCAGGCATGACTCCCTTTTGGTGAAAAAAGGAGATGCTAGAATTTCATCGGGTGGCAAGAATGAAGAACAAGCCTGGCCGGTGGCACACGCCTGTAATCCCAGCGGCTTGGGAGCCTGAGGAGAATCACGAGTTCAAAGCCAGTCTCAGCAGCTTAGCGAGGCACTAACATCTCAGTGAGACCCCATCTTTATAATACACACACACACACACACACACACACACACACACACACACACACACACACATATGGCTGCGGATGTGCCTCAGTGTTAGTGCCCCTGAGTTCAATCCCCTTTACCTAAATAAATAAATAATAAACAACGCCTTCAAGGTGCCCAGCCCTACGCTAGGCCAGTGGAGAGTACTTTTATCGATCCTGGCTAGGGGCCCACTCAAGGTCTGCGCAGGCCAGTCGCCGTTTCTGCAGCAACCAAAACACCGGGTTGCCCGGGCAACAGGCTAGTGGCAGCGCGCCTGTATTAGCCGAGGGGAGAGTCTGTTGTCTGTATGCCACATTCGATTGGCCAGCGAGGGCGTAGGATCCGCCCACATTCCCAGTGCTGCGCTGCGCTGTAGCTGAGAATCCGCTCACTTTCTAGGTGCGGCGCTAAACTGCCCCTGCCTCAGAGCCGACCTCTGCAAAACGGGTGTAACCATGAAGGGTCCTTGTGAGAGGCCTGGGGAAAATGAAGATCAGAGGGAAGAGGCGATAGCACCCGCTGGGTGTTTTGCAGGGGTCCCGGAGGCCGACAAGGATTCAGAAGCAGATTCAGACTCTGACCTGGAGACAGAAGGTGCTCTGAAGCAGGGGCCTAGGCCTGACTTCTCACCTTGGGGGCTTCTTGGCAGGTGTGGTGGGAAATGGGCTGAGACTGAGTGGGAGCTCATCGTTTTGTAGGGTGATTTCAGGGCAGCCAGTGGTCTCTCAGGCCATGCCCACCCTTCTGAGCGACATTAGGAGGTCCATCATTAAGAATATGCTTCCAGGGCTTGGGATGTAACTCAGTGGTAGAGTGCTTGCCTGTCATGTATAAGGCCTTGGGTTTTATCCCCAGCATTGCAGAAACAAAACAAAACAAGAACATGTTTTCAGAACAAAGAAATGCAAAATCCTGCCAACAGATCTGAAATATGAGGACAATAGTCCCACCAGTACAGGAAGAAATTCCTCTAGAAGGGAAACAGCTAGGATAGTAATGGAGGGTAAGGAGGGAGGTGGGTGTGCTAGTGAAGGGCTCCACATTTACCTCCCTTGTTTCCTTCCAGGCATACATGGACTTAGAGAACCCACCAGGGATGCCCTCCACTTGGGGTCTTGCCGGACCTATAGCATTGTGCCCACCATCTACTTTCTGAACCAAGGGTGTGCCCCAGAATTGAAGCTGAGGCACCGTGGTCTGGGACCCCAGGTACCTGTGGTAGGACTCTGGAGTCAGGCTTGGTGGGGGGGACCTAGGAGATAATAGCCATGGGAGTGCCTCTCATTGAGACCATCCCACACACTCCTCAGCTCTCCTTTTTGCCAGGTATATCCCTTCCCCTATATCTGGGTAAAGATGGAGGCTAGGACACATCAGCCATGAAGGTTGGGGAGCATACAGGCTCCTAACCTGCTGGAGGGTCAGAGAAGACTTCAGAGGGTGAGATCTGATTGGAGCTTAGAGGGAGAAGAAGGTGTCCCTTCAGAATGTGGGAAAGTGAAGGCTTTTGGGTTGGAGGGCACTGAGCAGGCTGAGCCCTGGAAACATGAGCCCAGAGATGGCTAGATGTGTTTGGTGCCCTCAGCCCTGAGAAGAACCTGACCTCTCAGGACTCTCTGCTCTGTTCCAGGGGGCATGGGCTCTGGCTTCCATGTTGACCTCCAATCCCTACATTAAGCGGCTGGATCTTCAGGACAATGGGCTCTGTGCGGCTGGTGCAGAGGCCCTGGCCTATGTCCTGAGCAAAAACAGCAGCATCTGTGGTAGGTGCTGAGCCTGGGGCAGGTGGGCAGGCTTGAGTTCTTTCCTTTACTTTTCTCAGTGATGTGGAAAGTCAGGCCTCACTTGGGGTCCACTGGTGGCTAATGGGGGGGGGTTGCTTAACATAGGATGCAGCACATGAGGGTGGAGTTAAACCCTCTGAGGATCCAGCCTGTGGAGCAGTCAATGCTGGATGCCATTTCTTTCCTGACTAGGTCTACCCTACTCACTCCCCTCCTCCACTGACCAGCACACCCCCTCCAGTATAGAGTAGATTCCCAGTGCCTGAATGCAGAGTAGAGGAGAGAGGCAGAGACCAGACTGTGAAAGAAGCAGGAGGGCAAGGTAGGAATTCATTGAGGCTGGATCCATATGCCAGCTCTGCAGGCAGATTGGGCAAGCAACTAAATCTTGTTGAGCCTGTTTCCAGCCTGTGAAGTGGCCCCAACAATACCACTTAGCCATTGGGTTTTGGTGAGTATTAAATAAAACTGAGTATATAAAGTGGTCACCAGAGTATCTGGTCCATGAAAGAGCTCCTTTCCTGGCCACCTGGGCTAGTATCATCAGTCCCTGGCAATAGAACAGAGACCAGTTAACAATGTGGTAGCTATTCCTCTAACAACATTCTCCACAGTACCACAAGGTAGGTGACTTTTAACCCTTTGGCAGAGAAGTTTATAAATAGGCGAGGAGGGAGAGGTCAGGGGCCCAAGGGGACCTAGCCAATGGGTGGCAGAGCTGAAACTCTAGGATGGTCCAACCTCAAAGTTTCTTCCTCTGCCTCAGGCATGGAGGTTTGGGAGATGTAGGAAGGTGGATAAGGGTGGTCTTGACTTCAGATCCCACTGACTGAAGAATGATGCTGGCCCCCAGATGTGGATCTGTCGGAGAACCAGATTGGAGTGGCAGGGGCCCAGGCTCTTTGTGCTGCCCTCAAAGTGAACCAGGCTGTGCAGAAGATACAACTGGCAGGAAATAGCCTGGAAGAGAAGGCAGCCCAGTACCTTGCTGAACTCTTGCTGGTCCACACAGGCCTGAAATCCCTGGATGTCAGCTATAACCAGTTGAATGACCAAGCAGGTAATCCCTGGTCTGAGCCACCATGGGACATTACACCTCATCTTCCTTTGATGATAGGGGAAGAACCATAGTGAGCATTCATGTCTGGTTCYGCTCTCTCTATATACCTTGGCCCACTCCTTGTCCACTCTAGGTACACACAGCCTTTAACTCATTCCACAAATATCTCATTACCCACTGTTGTGTATACTTAGCACTGGTTTGGCTGCTAGGGATCTAGAAGTAAACAAAACAAAGGCCCTGTCCTCAAGAAACACATATTAACAAGATAATTCTTAGTAATTATTGGTGCTCCAAAAGAAACAATCTAAAACAAGAAAAGAGTGGGGACTCCTTGCTTTAGAGGGATGGCCAGGGAGGCTTCTTTGAGTAGGTGATATTTAAACCTAAATGAGGTTTGCGAAGAGGTCATGGCAAAACCAGAGGGCAAGAATTTCAGATAAAGAAACAGTGAGTATACAGGCCTATTTCTCAAACTGGTAGATAACCAATATGACTAGACTAGTGTTCCAGGGGAGAGTGACTAGGCTATGGTATAAAGAGTCAATGGCTGCAAGTCATGGCTGAACGTGTGAAAATTTTATTTGAGGTACTGTGAAAAACATAAGTGGATTGCTTGATCTCTTTCTCTCATGCCCCAGGGCTTTTGCATGAGCAGTCTGTTTGCCAGGAATATACACTTCTGTGCCTGTTCCCAAAGGTTCCAACCAATTATAAGAATCATCTATAAGCAGGCTGGGGATATAGCTTGGTGTGGTGGAAAGTTTGCCTAGCATGCACAAGAGAATCACCTAGAAGCAGGGCGCAGTGGCACATGCTTGTAGTCCTGGATAATCATGAGGATTGCTTGAGCCCAGGAGTTTGGGGACAGCCTGAGCAACATAGTAATACCCTCATCTCGAAAGAAAGGAAAATAAAAAGAATAACCTGGGATCCTGGACCTCTTGAATCATATTTTGAAAGGAATGCACATGTATTTCCACTTTAATAAATTCCCCAGGAGAAAATTGACTGATCTGGAAAGTTTTGGAATTGATAATCTGTCTCAAGCACCAGTGTTGGCCTGTGAGAATCAGCCCTGGAGTTTAACTGACACTCAGATTGCCTTCTAAGAAAATTTTACTGTGGGAAGTCAGTGAAATTAAAGGAGAAGTTTATTTCAGATTTTTGACAAAATATAGGTGTCTTTCCAGACCGTCACAATTAGATGGAACTGGTTAGTTACATATTAGTAAATTTTTTGTTACTATAACAAATACCTGAGATAACTAATTTATAAAGAGAAAAGATATATTTTGGCTTAGTTTTATTTTTTTAAAGAGAGAGAGAGAGAGTATTTTTTAATATTTATTATTTTAGTTTTCGGCAGACACAACATCTTTGTTTGTATGTGGTGCTGAGGATCGAACCCGGGCTGCATGCATGCCAGGCAAGCGTGCTACAGCTTGAGCCACATCCCCAGCCCTATTTTGGCTTAGTTTTAGAGGTTTCAGTTCATGATGAATTGGCCCATTAGTTTGGACTCTCGTGAGGCAGCACATCATGGTAGGGGCATATGGCAGAGCAAAACTACTCAATTTATGGCCAGAAAGCAAAAAGACTAAGAGGAAGAGGCCTAGGTCTCAAAATTCCCTTCAAGAACATACACTCCAATGACCTAAGACATCCCACTAGGCCCTACCCCTTAAAGGCTCTGTCACTTTCCAGTAGTGCCATTGTGGGGATCAAGCCTTTAAAATATGGACCTTTGGGAGCCACTTAAGATACAAACTATAGCAGAGGTCAAGCACCAGAGAGGCAGCTAGAAGGGAGGGGCTGGAAGCTAAGGAGATACAAATAAGTACACAAGGAAGGTAGAATGGGGCCTGGGAAAGGAAAGGCCATTTTGTTTCTCCAAATAGGGACCTGAAGGTATGGCTGATTTCCTTGAGTGGTGAAGGAGTTTCGGTCTTAGTCTCCTCACCTGATCCATGGTGATGGCACCACCTACCTCAGGATGGCTGTGTAGATGATGGAGACCAAGCATTAGCTATTACAGATGTATAAAAGAAAGAACCCTCTCAATGACCAGTAATTCAGCAAAGAAGGGATTACTATCAAGTGGATGACCACCACCCTCCCCTCTCAGCTCTGGAAGTGTCTGGGGAAGGAAGAAGTATCCATATCTAAGAACCTGGAGGTATCAAAACTGGAGTTGGGTGCTGAGTCTGGCTCTTGGAGCGGCAGTGCATTGGCACAGGGAGCTCTCCAAGGTGCTAAAAGTGTCTGCCACTGTATGTGCTAGCAGAGAAAGCTGGCTGAGTGCTCTTAATGATCCATTCATTTTTCCTCTCTGCACTTCTTCAACCAGCCTTACAAGACATGTAATAGGCTCTGGGCTCATGGGGAGGAGTCAGATTCTTATCTTCAAGGGACTCCTAGACTGGTGACAGAGACCAATCAGACAGAAAGAGATCTAGTGGCTAGAGCCTGGAAGGATGGAGGGATTTTCTGGTGTTCCAGGGATCCAGAAAGGCCCAAACCAATCTGACCAGGCAGTACAGGCTTCCTGAGTCTATGAAAAACCAGATTAGAAATATTAGAGCTGTTATAAAAGTAAGGAAGGGGATTCCAAAATAGGGGACGGCCAAGAGACATGTCAGAGCTGGTGCTCTGGAGAACTGGGAGCAGGTCAGACTGGCCAAGTACTACAGATAGAAAGCATTCTATCGATTTGGGTTCTTCTCGTTCTACATGCTAAATATCCCTTTTGAGTTTCTCCATACACAGTCACTTCCTTTCAATATCTCCCTGGGCCTCCTCTCCATCACGGCTGTGCTAGCAGTCACCTCTTACCTATAGCAAGCACCATTCAATGGGTCACCTGACCACTCACTGTCTTTGCTGATGTTTATCATCAGACACTAGGAATCTTGCTGAAATGCTTTTTAGCCTTCCCTGATTCCTTGGCTACTATAGGGAAGAGCCTGAGCCCTGTCTTTGACATAGAATTACAGGCTTCTGAGCCTCTCTCAAATACCACCTACTATCTACCACATTGCACCTGCTTCCTTAACCAGCTCCATGCCTGAGTGTGTTTCTCAAATGTCTTTGCACTTCTGTTCTTTCCTGTGTCTACTGTACATTATGCTTGAATACATGAGTGGTGGATATTCGATTCAGAGTTATAATCACTTTTGTGACCCCATCAAGGCCACCACTCTCTTCCTATTCCTCCCTGTTTTAGTTTATATTAGTTTGCATCCCATTAATTTGTATATGTATCTCCCCTATAAAATGTGGATTCTGTGAGGGCAGGGCAAGCCTGACCTCATCTCTTAGATCATCCTGCCCAGTAGAGATTCAGGCAACAGTATCATTTTTAAAAAAGGAATGAGCAGAGTTAATAATAAGATCTATCTTGGTGTTCCAAAGGAGAGACACTTGGACCAGCCTTGGCAGAAAACACAGGACTAACAGAGCTTAACATAAGCTGGAATCACCTCCGGGGTCCAGGAGCCATAGTTTTTGCCAGGGGACTAGAGGTATGAGACACCCATCCAGTCAGTTCCTGGGGCCTCTCCTTTGCAGATCATCAGATATGAACCTTAGATCTTTTTTCTTATTCTTTATTTTTAGGGGGTGTGGGGAACCCAGGGCTTTGCACATCCTCAGTGCAAAATTAAAACTTTAAAGAGAACTTAAAGGGTGTTTGTTTTAGGTAACTTTTATTTTCCTCACCCCATCTGATGACTACAGTACACTGGGCCCACTATCTGGTCATTTACTGAAGGGTCCAGAGCTGAATGTCTTGTACCTTCTCCAGGTACAAACTCTTGGCTAGTAGGGAACATCTGTCAAGTCTTGTAGACGGATACAATACCTTTACATAATTTGTTTATTTTTATTTTTTAATGTTTAGCTGTAGATGGTCACAATACCTTTGTTTTATTTAATTATGTGGTATGGAAGATTGAACCCAGTGCCCCATGCAAGTGAGGCAAGTGCTCTACCACTGAACCACAACCCCAGCCATAATTTGTTTCTTTTTATATGGTGCTGAGTATAAAATCCAATGGCTCACGTGTGCTAGACAAGTGCTCAGTGACTGAGCTAAAACCCTAGCCCCACATGCTTACTATTAACATAAATAGATGTTTTCCTGAAAGACACCATTGCAAACCTGAATGCCAGTACACTGACTCAAACGTCTCACTTGCTCCCCTATATATTGAGGTTCATACAAATTGAGAGTCGAGCCTCAAGCAATGCTAGAGTGGCACGAGGCATATTCGATGTTCCTGTAACAACTACTTTTATGGAGGACCTCTAAGGCAAGGTGGTAGGTCAGGGTTTTTCTTCTCAGAGCACCAAAACATCTCTTCCCATCCGACACTTGGGTAGATTTTATCCCGCAAAACTTTGCTGGAACCCGAGGTCCTTRGGGCTGCTTTATGTCTCAGGGTCCCTGATATTAAGAAAATCCAACATGGCAAGGTGTAGTGGTGTACACCTGCAATTTCAGAGGCTCAGGACACTGCAGCAAGAGGATGCAAAGCTCAAAACCACCCTCAGCACCTTAAAGAGAGGCACTAAGAAACTTAGCAAGACCCTGTCTCAAAATAAAAAATAAAAAGGGCTGGGGATGGGGCTCATTGGTAAAGTGACCCTGGGCAAAGTCTCTAACAACAACAACAAAAACCCCTCCCACATGCATGGAAATCAGATTACTGTGTCTTGGGACCCACTACTGCCTGGTCTTTGGGGGTCCAGAGACCATGGACCAGTCCCAGCCTCCTCTGTTGTGCTTGGGACTGTTCAGCTCCATTAGCATCACCTCCAAACTAAAGCTAATGAGGGGAAGTACAGCACTTTACCTCATCTCTGCTCTTTTTCATTTTGTCCCTATCATGCACCTCAAGCCTCTTGGGCTCTGAGGATGTGGCCCCCATGCTTTCTGCACCATGAGATGTGGGTCCCAGCTTCACTCTTTATGTTCTAGGCAAATATCTTCCTGAAAGTCCTAGACATCTCTTTTAATGGTTTTGGAGATTCTGGAGCTTCTGCAATGGGTGAGGCCCTCAAGGCCAACAACGTGTTGGAGGAACTCAACATGAGGTGAGAAGTATAGGGGTATCACGCAGGGACCAGGGGCACTGTGATCTCATGGATATTCATTTTCATTTCTGATCCTATGACAGTCTACTTAGGAAGGGGTTTGGCCACAATCCTAAGACATCCAGCTCCATCCTTCTCTTTCAAGATCATCACTAATACATTGTGACTCCTAATTCTTGCGCTGAAGGCAGGTAGCTAGAGATACCCAAATGTAAGTGTGAATGACCTTCAGAAGGCCTGGCACAAGATGGTGACCTATGAGAACTTCCATGCCTTTCAATGGATCCTCTTCTGGATGGAGCAAGGCCAGGCTCTGACTGGTGGCCCCTCTGGCATGCTTTGCGTGAGCTTCTTCTCCAGGCCAGGCGGCGTCTCAGCCCTCAACAGGTAATGAATGGGGTAGGGGCAAACCCACTGGGGAAAAAGAGACAGACGTCAGTTAAGTTATAGGCTGTTATGGCTGAGCCCCTTCCCAGGGGATGCACCTTGCAGGCAAGAGGTCTCACTCAGTCCAACACATCTTTCCTCTCCATGGGAAGAGCCAAGGCTGGAGGCAGCAACAGGAAATGCTGAAATTCATGGCACAGCCAGAGCCAACATGTGAAAAGTCAGTAGATGGATTCGCTAGGGCAAAGAGGAAGCTTATAATGTTATAATATTTTGATTCATGGTGTGTTTCTTTTTTCTTTTTTTAAAGAGAGAGAGAGAGAGAGAGAGTGTTTTAATATTTATTTTTTAGTTTTTCGACAGACACAACATCTTTGTTTGTATGTGGTGCTGAGGATCGAACCCGGGCTGCACGTGTGCCAGGCGAGCGTGCTACCACTTGAGCCAAAGTTGGTTTCGTAGGAGGAGAAGAGAGGATGAGAACAGGGAGATAGGTGATTATCAATAGTTGTTGTCATGGTGATGGGTAGGTAGCATGGAGCAGAACATGTGGGGGCACCTGCTGAGCTCAAAGGGCCAGGGAGTGACAGCTGGTCTCCACCACAAGAGGGACACTCTGGCCTGTTAGCTGGGTRATCTCCCTGGAAACAGAGTCACCCGTGAGGCGGCATCATACCCATCTTTTTCACCCTGAGTTGCCTGAAAGACCTGGGCATGAATGGGGGGCTGAAATGAGAAGCCAAACCTGGTGGATGCAACAGAAGATCCAGAAGAGACACTGGGGCAATCAGTCCTGCCCAGCTCTTTGGAAAGCAGCAAGAGGAATGAGTCTTTTTTTGTCAGAGTTAATTGTACAAAGTAATGGTGTTCTGTGTGATATTTCCATACTCACACTGATCAAATCCAGCCTTTCTATTTCCACCTCCCCAATTCCAAACCCTTCCCAAACTCTAGTAGTCACTAACCTATTTTCAGGTTGATATTTWTTAGMTTCCATATATGAGAGAGAACATGTGACCCTTGTGTTTCTGTGTCTGGCTTATTTCACTTAACATAATGTTCTCTAAGTTTCATCCATGCTGCTAATGACAAGATGCCATTCTTCTTTATGGCTGAATAATCCTCCATGGTGTATAGGTACCACATTTTCTTTATTCACTCACTTGCTGATGGACACCTAGACTAATCCTGTATCTTGACTATGATACAGGATTATTATCTTGACTATGACTCATAAGTTTTTTGTTTTTTTTTTTTTTCAGCAACAACCGAATCTCTGCAATGGGAGCCCGGCACCTCGGGTTGGGCCTCTGGGTCAACCAGACACTGAGGATTCTTGTTGTGAGTGCTAACCTCAAGAGGGAAGCCTCAGCACAGACCAGCCCTGTGCCTGTCCATTCAGATGCCTCCCCACRACATCACCAAACCCAGGGCCACTGGATGGGTGGCAGTGTACACAGACTCCAGACCCYTGATGGCGTCTCTGGGAGGGGGGCCTCCTGGATTACTTTTGCAACTACTTCCTTTTGCCATTCAGTCTCCCACCTCTGGCCTGGCCCATGCTGAGATTCACACTCCTCTTCTGTCYACCTATCCCTCCCAGCACTATGTCCTCAACAACACCTTGCTGACTTTCCTCCTCTTCCTTTTGGGGTGTTCCTCTGTGGAAAGTTGCCAGAGAACCCCTCACTTGGCATTCATCTCCCCTGCTCTTTCTCTTCTGTCCTGGAACCCAGGGTCAATGCAGGTGGATTGGTTTGCCACTGCTCAGACCTACCTGAGGCCTGTGTGTCTAAARGGAGTTGCCTTTCTTCAGAGTTGCAGGTGCAAAGAGAGCCACTGAGCAGGGCTCAGAGTGGAAGATGGAKAAGGGAGGGAGCCAGGCAAATGTGAAGAAAAATCTCTGAGGTCTGCTGTACCAATAGCTTGTGCTAGGGAACAGTATCACCAGCTCTGGGGACAGGGTTGGCATCTGGCTCTGCTCCCCATCTTCAGCCTTCCCAGGTCTTCTCTCATTAGCTTTCCCACTCCTTGCCCCTCAAAAACTGTGACCTCTCTCCCAAGCTTACATGCACCTCTCCAGCACTGACAGTCTCCTAATCACAATGAACTCTTGAGAGTTCGTCATGAATGCTTCACCTCCTTCTAGGGGTTGCCTCTCAGTGGGAGAAAACAAGTCAGAAGATGGGGGCCAGAGCCTGACCCATGTCTCTTCCCCACACTTTCCCTCCAGTATCCCCTCCAGCAGAGTGCTCAGCCTGTTGGTTCTTCTTTTTCTCCCTTTCTCAGGTTCTGTTAAGCTGTTAGTTTTCCCAATTCTGTCCTTCCTTCCCATCTGCTGCCTGATGATCTTTCTAAAATGACACATGCCCCTGTCACTTCCTGCTAAACCTTTCACTTGTGATAAATCCAAGCTTTATACCTCATCAATCATAGCACATCATGGGGATCTGCACTCTTCTAAACCCTGCTTCCAAGTTCATTGCTCTTCAGAATTTGCATGCACCCACCCCCCCACACACACACACACAGACACACACAGAGGATACTATTTCCCACCTTTGCTTTTGCTCTTGTTGTTCTTGCTGAAATGCCCCTATTCATCCTCTACAACTGTAAAGCTTGGTTCTGGGGTTTTACTCTCCAATGACGACCTCTCAGGTGGTATTGGCATGCACCCTTGCATTGAACTTCCCACACTGAATTTTACATTTCTTTTGCCTCACCTTCCCTGAGCAACTGAACTCTTATTTAAGAATCCAGTATGTTTTTTGTCTGCATCTTTGGCTCCCAGCATAGAGCTGAATAGGTGCCTTGTCAGCATCCACTCCATTCCTCTCTTGCCCAGCTCAATATCCTCACCCAGGGCAATATGTCACACAGAAACACCTGTTGAGTTGAGGCAGTGGGGCCTTCCTTCCCACACTATGAGAAGAAGTGCCCTCATTCCCTTGCAGGTTGCTCTCAGCCTACCTGGACTCAGCTCCTCTTAGTTCTGTGTTGTCTTTCTTAGGTGTCCAGGAATCCCATGCAAAYTGAAGGCTGCTCTCATCTCCTCAAGTCTGTCCGGGACAACCCAGCATCTTCACTAGAACTGCTAGATTACTCTGTAAGAGCTTTTTCTAAGCCATTTTCTGATCCTCCCAACAACCCTGTTACATCTCCATTTGACAGGAAAGAAATGGGGATTATAGAAACAAAGTGCTCTACTCAGATACACCAGTGGCAGGTGAGAGTTCCAACCCAGGTCTCAATGCAGGTCATGACACTACTGCAACTCTGCTCCCACTCTGGGCTGGCATCTGTATCCTGGTCTGACCTTGGGCCCCGACTCTGTTCTTCCTTGGCTGAAAGAGCAGAGGTGGAATTTGGGGGCACCATGCTTAATATGCATGGATGTTTCGATCTGCAGGTTCAGCACTGGGCAAGGGTACCCTTCTTCCCTCCCCCATCCGAGTCAGTACTGCCTGCAGGTGGACTGCACTGCTGGAAGATCCATTTGTGTGACGGCAAGGGAATTAGAACCCACTTTTAATGCCATTTTAATTTTTTTCCTGTTTTATTTCTTTTTTTTTCTAGTTGGATAGTTTGCCTTTATTTTATTTGTTTATTTTTAAGTGGTACTGAGGACAGAACCCAGTGCCTCACACGTTTTAGGCAAGCGCTCTGCCACTAAGCCACAACCCCAGCCCAATTTTGCTTTTTTAGTATGGGAAAGAAATTTCACTCTTTTCTATTCTATGTCAATTCATCATTAAGGAGAGACTCCAGAATCACTTTGTGTATGTGTGTTGGGGGGTGTGCATGCACATGTGGTGTRGGGGATGGAACTCAGGACCTCACACATGCTCGGCAAACACTCTACCACGAAGCTATGTATCCAGCCTGACAGAATAGGAAGTTTTAAAGTCTGGTTACCAATCARTGCTCATTCTAACCTAGATTATTTAATCCACACTTGAGTCAGTCATACCAGAACTATTTTCACAGTTCTAGTCTTCCTAGATTGTCCTTACAACTCCAAAGCCAGAAAATTAGCCTGACTTAAAAATGTTTCTTCAGTTCTAAAAATGCTTTTCAACACTGTATCTAATTGTTCTAGAATAAGGGGGGTGGATAATATATACATTTGCCTGTTAAACTACATATTTATTCAATACAATATAGGTCATTAGCAGAGATCTCTAATATTTCAGAAATACCACTGGTTTTGCAATGAGTTCATGCCTGGGACCAAATCCTGAGTTCATCAATGTGGGATCTTGCACAAGGTTCTGAACCAAAGAATCATCACACAAGCCAGGCTCTAATGTTCTGTTTTCTAGTCTTTAACTGTTACCATTAGTCTAATCTGACTAACCCAGATTTTATCCTCAGCTCTGAGGGGAATGATTATGACTTCTTGTAATTGAAGTAAACTCGCTTCCAGAGCTCAGCCTTTTCTTTATGTGAAATGGGGCTAATACCTGCCTTCCAGGGGCACTGTGTACATAGGATAGGAACTAGGTGTAGTGGTGTGCATCTGTAGTCCCAGTTACTCAGGAGTCTGAGGCAGGAGGCTCTCTTGAGCCCAGGAGTTCAAGATCTGCCTTGGCATCACAGAAGGACTCCATCTGTGTTGAAGATAGTAAATTTAAAATTTTTAAAGTGAAAAAGATGGGATGAGATGATAGACCCTGTAGRTAAGACTTGCACAGAGAAAGTCTCAGTTAGTGTGCTAGTTCTCTTCTCCTCAGGCCTCTTCCCATGCTAAAGAGTGCCTAAAGATTAASGTGGATCTCAAGCAGCATATACCCATGTAACTAACCCCCCACATGGAGAAATAGAGCGTGCCCTTAAAAGCCCCCCCCCCTTGAATCCCTTCCCTTTTCTATTTTAATACTTTGGGGAGTGTGAGATCATCATCTATGGGAGAGAAACTGCCCAGAGGAACTTCTTGGAGACCTTGTGTACAAGTAAACACAACCAAGTTCCCAGAAAGGAAGAATGCACTGTCTTATCATGGGTTTCTCCTTAGGATATGCAGGTGAACAGAGAGTTTGATGACCTCAATAGCTCAGTGAAGGTGATTCTTCCAGGCCTTTGCATAAAGACTGGTGCTCCCAGAGTGGACTATAAGAACGAGTTGCTGCCAGTCTTCAGACCACCCMCACCAGCATCTGCTCCTAAATGACTTTGGAAGATGGCTTCCTCATCTCCCAATTAGTCACTTCAGTTTCCACTTGGTGGACTACTCGACTCATGACACTTGTACCTTCCTCTCTGCTCCATGGACCCTGCTATAATCTAGGCCTTCCTTTGCCATCACTCATTCATGTAACACATTGGTGTGGACACAGGGTGAAAGATGTCCCTGTTCATCTTCCATGTTCCTGTTTTAGTGACCTTGGAAGAAAAAATGTGAGGAGTACATATCGCACTCCCAAACTACTTGCAAAAATGCAACTTGTCACAGCCCTTTGGGAAGGCGATTGTTATTATGCACTGAGAGTCATCAAATTGTCCGTTTTGATCCAAATGTTTGTGTAATTGTTCTACAGAACTATTCAGAGATGCACAAAAAAATTGTTGCCTGAAGATGTTCACTGAAATGCTGTTTATAATAATGAAAAGTGGAAATAAGTTAAATGCCCACTAATTAAGATTTGGAACTCTGCAAATGTTAAAAGCCCCATGCTCAAAAACATTGAAGAATTCATGAAAATATACATGATGTAAGCAAGTACATCAAAGTAAAAAACTCCTATGGTTTTTGGCATTTCCTCAAAAGTTTAATCATAGAATTACCAACTGAACCAATAATTCCTCTCTATGTATATACTTAAGAGAATGGGAAATATATCAATGGAAAAACTTTTTCAGGTATTGTTCATTGTAGCATTATTCATGATATCCAGAAAGTTGGAATGCTTATCCATGGGTACATACAATATGGCATATCCATACAATGGAATGTTATTCAGCAACAAGAAAGAATTATGCAGAGAACTGTGGTCTCACCTGCAATCCTAGCTACTTGGGAGGCTGAGACAGGAGGACTGCAATTTGGAGGCCAGCCTAGACAAGTTACAAAATCCTATCTCAAAATCATTTTATAATATAAATTTTTTAGTTGTTGGTAGGCCTTTATTTTACTTATGTATTTATATGCAGTGCTGAGAATTGAACCCAGTGCCTCACACGTTAGGCAAGCGCTCTATCACCAAGCTACAACCCCAGTCCTCAAAATAATTTTTTTTAAAAGTTAGGGATGTAGCTTAGTGGCAGAGCACTTGCCTAGAATGTGTGAGGCTTTGGGTTCAATCCTCAGCACCGCACACATCCATACATAAAAAGTACTGTGTATGTAGTTCAGTGGTAAAGTCCTTACATAGAATGTATGAGACTGTGTTCAATCCCTAGTGCTAAAAAAATAGAAAAATGAAATTTATATGACAAAATTTTCTTAAATTGATTTTGGTGATGAGTGTACAACTCTATGAATATACTAAAAGCAATTGAATTGTATACAGTACTTTGAAAGACAGAATTTTATGGTATGTGAATATTATCTCAACAAAGCTCCTTTCTAAAAAAGGAGAAATTTGATACATGCTACAGGGATGAAACTTGAAAACCTGTTCAATGAAAAAAGTAAGTCACATATATTGTCAAGAATATATATGTGATTTTGTTTATTTTTATATTGTGGATTGAATCAGAAGTGTTTTTCCACTGAGCTATATCCCCAATCCTTGTATTTTTGATTTGGAGACAGAGTCTCCCTAAGTTATTGAGAGTCTCACTAAGTTGCTGAGGTTGGCTTTGAACTTGTGATCCTCTTGCATCAGCCTCCTGGGTCACTGAGATTACCAGCATGCACTAGTACCCTGGATTGTATAATTCTGTTTGTATAAAATGTCCAAAATAAGCAAATCTTCAGAGGAACAGAGTATAGGTTGTTTAGGACTAGGGAGATGGGGGAATTAGGGGTTGGAAGTTACTGGATTTGGGTTTCTTTTAAGGATGATAAAAACATTCTAAATCTGACTATGATAATGTTATGCAACTCAACGATGTTGTAGAATCAAGCCCAGTCCAGTGGTGGGTACTTGTAATTCTGGGAAGGCTGAAACAAGAGGATCACTTGAGCCCAGAAGTTTGAGACCAGTCTGGTCAACATAGTCAGGCCTCATCTCAAAAACAAACAATAACGTGGACTGGGGTTGTGGTAGAGCTCAGTGGCAGAGCACTTGCCTAGCATGTGTGAGGCATTGGGCTCCATCCTTAGGACCACAAAATGAATAAATAATAAATAACAAACAAAATAAAGGCATTCTGTCCATCTACAACTACAAAAAAATTAAAAAATAAATAAATAAAGGTATCATGTCTATCTACAACTAACAAATTTTTTTTTAAAAAAAGAACAAAACATAGAGCTATACACTTCAAATGAGTGAATTGCACAGTATATCAATTATATCTCAAGAAAACACTTAGAAAAATATTGTTTGATCCCAATTTTATTAAAAAATGTATGAATGTATATACTCAGGAAAAAAGAAAACAGACCCACAGAAATATTAATAATGTGTATCTCTAGATTGTGGATTTATGGATTATTTTTATTTATAGTTTTTGGCCATTTACACTATGTACTCCGAATGTGTTATTTTATAATAAAAAAATATTTAAAAACACAAAGTAATACAGACTATAATTAAGTTCTGTGCATGATATTGTTGGATCTCTGAGGAAAGTGGGTGCTGAAGAGTGGATTGAATTGTGTCCCCCTAAAATTATATGAAGACCTATTCCCCTATGTGACTATATATAAAGATAGATATTTTTTAAATATAGTTTTTTTTTAGTTGTAGTTGGACACAATACCTTTATTTGTTTTTATGTGGTGCTGAGGATCAAACCCAAGGCCTCATATGGGCTAGGCGAGCGCTCAATTGCTGAGCCACAACCCCAGCCCCTGGAGACAGGTCTTTTTTTTTTTTCTTTTTTTTTTTTTTAATATTTTTTTATTTTTAGTTATCGGCGGACACAACATCTTTGTTGGTATGTGGTGCTGAGGATCGAACCCGGGCCGCACGCATGCCAGGCGAGCCCGCTACCGCTTGAGCCACATCCCCAGCCCCAAGAGACAGATCTTATGAGGAAAGAATTATGGTTAAAAAAGGTTTCAAGGGTGAGGACATGATATAATCAAGTTAGTGTCAACAGACCATAGAGTTTGTATGCCTCTCTTGTAGATATAATGATAATGTGGCTGTTTGCCATAATATAAGGACATGATAAGAAGGTAGCTGTACAATACAATGTGAGGACATAGAGGGTGGCTGTCTGAAAGACAGGAAGAGAGACTCTGGACCTTCTAGTCTCTATAAATGTGAAAAAAAGAAATTTATTTTGTTCCAGTCACCTAGTCTATTATAGCTGAGAGATGACTAATACATAAATATGTGCTCTCCTGGGCAAAAGAGGCAAAGGGAGGGCAATGGTCTTCTGGTTTCCCTGACTCAGAAGACCTCACTCTGTGACCCTCTTTGTACCAAAATGATCTTTCTAAACACACAACTGATCCCACAGTTCAGAGGCTCCCCATGTACTCACAGAAGTCTGAACTCCTTAGTTTGGTGTGTCCCATTGCACAGGATGGTACCAGAATCTCCTCTAAAGAGGGAAAGTCAAAGTCTGGTTCCATTATTTTCTCAGGAGATGCCAGAGCAGTAGTTTCCATTCTGGTAATAAGCTGGAAGTACACCCGGATTCTTCATCCCATACTTTTATCCAAAGTTCACACATACTGGGTTCTAAAGGAAATTGAGATAATCTTTAAGGGGAGAATCTGATGATGGTTCCAAAGTTCTCCAAAACGAGGAATGGGTCCTAACCCAGCTCTTCCGGGTTCAGAAGTGTTCAGAAAGAAGTGTTCAGCTGGGGATGGTGGCTCAAGCCTGTAATTCTACTCGCAGCTACTCCAGAGATAAGGCAAGAGAATCTCAAGGCCAGACTCATTTGTGTCAATTTTTTAAAAAATTCAATAATAATAATAATAATAATAATAATGGTTGCAGATATAGCTCAATGGTTAAAGGCTTACCTAGCATATACTAGATTCAATCCTCACCAATGCAATATAAAAAAATGGATAAAATACATAAATGAGGGGGATGTCCAAATCCCGGCCCAATAGTTCATAGGCACTCATTGGGAATGGATTCTCTGCACCAAGAAGGAGCAGAAGAGGGTGGGAAGGGGGCATGGTGACTGTAGTAACTGCAGGGAGGCTTTGGCCTGTTTGCAAATCCTGAATAAAGAGCAGGGTGGCCAAAAGTCATAGAGCAACCAAGAAAGGGTCCAAGGTACTTGGTAATCCTCTTCTCGTTTAGGATTCACAAGCCGGGGGCTGGATATACAGCTCAGTTGTTCAATCCCCAGCACCAAACAAACAAACAAAAAGATTCACAAGTGAGGGCCTTATTTGAACCATGATGTCCTGTACTCCAAAGTGGTTATGCCCAGGCTGCCCCAACTTCAGGGTCTGAGGATGATCCAGAACGCAGCATACCCACAGAAGTCATCGGTTATTCTGCGACATTCCCGCCAAAGCCCCATCCAATGAGAAAGCGCCATCACTTAGAATTGAGCAACAGCCAATCAGAAATGGGATCTGGGGTCCCGGCCCGCCCTAAGGAGCTCTGAACCAATGACTACGTGGGTAGCGGCGGTTTAATGATCACGACTCTCGCACTCCGCGGGTAGTTGGGCACACTCCGACAGTTGAGGTCAGCCAGAGTACTTGGGCGGCATCTGCAGAGCTCACCATGGTGAGGTCGGGGACCTGGGGGAGGTGATGAGACCAGGTGGGAGGTCATACAAAGCCCACGTGAGGTGGCCAGGGAGAGGGATCCTTCCAAATGCCCAGTGTTTGGGCCTGGGCAGGGACAGGAGTTGGAATCAGGAGATCTAGGGAGGAGGGCACATGAGCACATTGGCTAGCCTTTGTATTTTCATGCCGCGGGGGCAAGGATGGCCCTAATGGAGGCATATACAGAGTGTCCAGGGCATGGAGCCCATGCCGGTACTATCATCTTCTAAAGTTGCCTTGTAAAGAGGCAGGATGGCAGCCAGGTACTTTGAGGGACTGTTTTTGTTTTAGAAAATGCCCATGGCTTAATTTTTCAGTCACTGCTAAAAATTATTGAGGACTTTAGAGAGCGTCTATGTGATTAATAGGTACAGATGCTTATTATGTTAGAAATTTAAAAAGAGAAGCTTTTAAAATATGTTTGCTTAAAAGGAATGCATGTTAAAATAAGTAACAAAGTCTGACTAACGAACGTTTGTCAGTTATTATTTTATTTTAAATTAGTGTCCTAGATGGCTGTCCATACTCCACTACTACAGAGGCTGAGGCAGGAGAATCTGGGAGTCTGGGAGTTTGAGTCTGGGAGTTTGAGCAACATAGCCAGCCCCCTCCTCAAATTTAACACACACACACACACACACACACACAGACTGCTATCCCATAAAAAACTGGCAACTTCATCTTGCAGCTCAAGTGTCTTTTCACAAGGCAACTGGATTTAGTATGAATACTTGGGCTTTTTGTGACACTACTTAAGAATAGAAATGTAATCACTTCTTCAAGGACATTCTTCAATGAAACCGATTTTTGTTTGTTTGTTTGTTTTACTTTAAGTATATAGGGATGGTGCCTTGTTTTGATCACTGCTAAGGTGATAGTACGTTTACCCATCACTGTGCCCCACTAAGAACTGGGGAGTTCCATTGAGGAATGCTTTGGGAAAAGAGATCAGCAGAAACAAAGAAGTATTGATTGGAGGAGGCATAACTTTATTATAAAGCAAAGAAAGGAGGACAGAAGGAAGGGCAGTTTATAGATTTGGTGGCAGGAAGTGATGTACCTGCATAAGTATAAAACAAGGTCATCTGTCAAGAATATAGCCATATGATTGGCCTGGGGTTTGAAAAGCTTGGATGAAGTTTCAAATATTTTTTTCTGCAATGCCTGGGATTGAACTCAGGACTTCATACATCTTAGGCAAGCACTCTACCACTGATCTACATCCCCAGCATACAAGTAATTTATTTTCAGAGGAGACCAAAGAAATAAGATCAGTGTGAGGTTGGCAATGCTGAATTTACATGGGATTTCTCTTGAAAGCAAGGGTGAATTTTCCTGGCTGCTTGGATTTGTTTCAATGGTTCATGGAAGATATAAGTGGCCTCTCAGACCACTGGGTGGCTCTTTTTGTTTTGTAAATGAGGAAATTAAGAGGGCTGGGAATGTAGCTCAGTGGTAGATGACATGCCTTGCTTGAGGGAAGCACTGGGGCTCATCCCAACACAACAACAACAAAAAGAAAAGAAAAGAAAAAGAAAGACAAGAAAAACAAAGTAACTGGCAGATTTGCCAAGTCAGATCTTACTGATTCAGGGTTAGCAGAATGCCAGTGAAGCCAACCTGTGAAATACAGAGTGTCTGGATTTCAGTAATGAAAAATCCTGTATTGTTGGATGGCTTCAAAAGTATTTTCCCAGAGTGCTGAGCAATTTCCTCAGAAGAGCAAGTTCCTTGCATTAAGAGGGAAATTTCTTGCTTTGGTTAAATTATGTAGAGTTTATTTGAGGTAAGGAAACATCACTGTACATCTCCCAGAAGCAGAGCAGGTTCTGAGAACTCCATCTGATAACATGATCTGAGAGCATTCATTGAGAAACTGAAGTGAAACCTAGAGACCAACTTCACTGGCAATAGCCTAGTCAATCAAACAGTCAAGTGGTTGCGGTTTAAATGCTCACTTGTTTACAGGTGACTCAGTCAGCTGATTCCAGAGACTTCTGCAACCAGCTAAGGCTTATTTACTCTGAACCCTGAATTGGGTTGGTGTTTTGAGCCCACTGCAGGTGCCCAGTTCAAATGCGTAGCCTCCTACAAAATATCCTTTAACATTTGGCATTAGAGAAGTTCCTTCTGGAACTGAATGATCCATTAGGGATGATGGGAGTTTGTTGCATCATGTTAATTTTTTTTGAGGGGGGGGTGGAGAGGACACCAAGGATTGAACTCAGAAGAACTTGACTGTTAAGCCCTATTTTGTATTTTATTCAGAGACCAGGTCTCACTGAGTTACTTAGTGCCTTGCTTTTGCTGAGGCTGGCTTGGAACTCATGATCCTCCTGTTTCAGCCTCCTGAGCCACTGGGATTACAGGCGTGCACCACTGTGTCCAGCCATGTGGATTTTTTGCTCCTATAAAAGGAAATAGTAGGGCTGGGATTGTGGTTCAGCAGTAGAGCACTCGCCTAGCATGGGTGGGACCCGGGTTCGATCCTCAGCACCAATTAAAAATAAAGGCATTGTGTTGTGTCCATCTACACCTAAAAAATAAATATTAAAAAAGGAAATAGTATATAGAATGGGGATAGTCCCTCAATTTTGTTTATTCTCCTCTAGGTATTTGCAAAGGCAATGTCTTTAGAGTTGAACAAGTAGCTAGTGAGTGTACAGTTACCTCCCCTCAAGGCAACTTCATTGAAGATTGGTATTTTTGTTTTTTGAGAAGACTCAAAAAGAGTACAATTGATAAAGTTATGGGTACCTTTTTCATTTTTTTGAAGGTAAAGAAACCATCAAGAGGGCTGGGGATACAGCTCAGTTGGTAGAATGCTTGCCTTATTTGCAAAAGGCCCAGGGTTCTAATCCCCAGCATCACCACAACCACCACCACCACCACCAGAACAACAAAAAAGAAAGAAAGAAAGAAAACATCAAAAGACAGTTTACTTGGGAGCCTTAGATAGGAGGACCATGAGTTCAAAGCCAGCCTCAGCAAAAGCGAGGCACTAAGGAACTCAGAATTATCTAAATAAAATATAAAATGGGGCTGGGGATGTGGCCCAGTGGTCAAGCGCCCCTGAGTTCAATCCCCATCCCCTCCCCCACCAAAAAAAAGATATTGAGGTATAAGAGCACTTGTGATATCTGGGAGTCATTATACTCTTAGACTTGAAGGAGGGGAGGGAATAATTACTAGAAGTTGAGAGGGTATCTTTTTGAAGAATATTGACTGTTGAAAGTAAGTTGTGGTCTGGATAAAGGGACTCAGGCAGTCCATTGTAGTCTGGCATGGAGGGAGCATCCTGACTACATTTGCTATAATCTCAAGTTCCTGCCACTGCTGGCTACTGGGAAAACCAAYCAGAAGCCATAGGGCAAGAGTTAAGATGTCTCAGCAGTCAAGCACAGTGGCACATACCTATTATTCTGGTTACTGAGGAGGCTGAAGCAGGAGGATGGCAAGTTTGAGTCCAGGCAGGACAACTTATTGAGATCCTGTCTAAAATAAAAAATGTAAAGTAGCTCAGTGAGAGCGCACCACAGGGTTCAATTCCCAGTACCATACACACACATGGTCTTAGCCTCTGTCCTCTAAAGTATCAGAGACAGGTAATACTACTTATCTATGAAGTAGGAGGAGGAGTAAGTAGGATAGAGAATGATATTTTGCCCTCAGCAATCTGTCTGAGCAGATGGAAGACACACAGTGAATAGCTGGGTTTGGGCCATGGTAATCTGGAACCTAGTCCATCTTTCCTTGCTTAACTTTTCATTACATTATCCGTTGTCCAGTGCACACTGCTCTTTATTCCTCAGTTCCCATTATAAGCCACAATGAAGAGTTCATTATTAATGATACGTGGCTCTCAGGCTTTAAAAAGAATCTTGGTTTTGCAAAGAGATTTTAAGTTCTGTGGCTGACTCTGCCACTTAACAGCTAGAGTGCCATACGGCAATTCAGGTAGCATAGGGAAAAGAGGTTGAAAGTGAAGTTTATGAAAGTGCCAGTCATTGACGCACTGTTCAAATACTAACTTTTAATGCTTTGCATGCTATATGGTTTCATTTCCCTTGAAGAGGAGTGGGTTTCATGTTTATGTTCTGGTTCCCAGCGCGAGTGTATCTCAATCCACGTGGGGCAGGCAGGTGTCCAGATCGGCAATGCCTGCTGGGAACTGTACTGCCTTGAACATGGAATTCAGCCCGATGGTCAGATGCCAAGTGACAAAACCATTGGCGGCGGGGATGACTCRTTCAACACGTTCTTCAGCGAAACCGGGGCTGGCAAGCACGTGCCCAGAGCGGTGTTTGTGGACCTGGAGCCCACCGTGGTTGGTAGGTGCTCAGGCCCGCAAAGAGGCCTTCCGGGGAGGGTGGGAGAGCCTTGGTAAAGTCCCATGTGGACTCCTTGAATCCTGTGTAGAAAGGAGGGATGTTGAAGCCTATGCTCCCAACATTGCTGGGTGAGGAACTCACTGGTGTGGACTGAAGGATCTTGACTGTGAGATTCAGGAACCTATCTCAGGAAACCTGCCCTGCAGAGAAAAGCTGGTAGCCAGCAGTAAGCTGGGCTGCAGAGAGATTCCCTCCTGGCTGTCTCTGCTGGTCAGGTGGCTCCTGTGCATACCCAGTGCAGGGTGCACAGTCTTGGTTCCCTCCTTCATTGCCACCCACACTGACATGCTGACACACTACAGTCTTGAGCTGCCCGGAGACTGGAAACTTAAGTGTAGAACATKCATTGGGTTCCTCTAGATTGGAAGTCCTAGGTAGTTTCCCATAAGAGGTGGAAAACARAGCACCTTTCATTGGTTCCCCCGGGACATAACAGAATACTGATTTTCCAACCTGTGTGACCCAGTCCACATGCAATTCCCTGATGGCACCGCCCCGCTAAAGTCATGCTGACCTGGAGACCGCGGGTTTATGAGTGAGTTTTTAATTGTTCCCTTTGATGTAGCTAGRGGTAGGAAAGAAAGATGTACCTGGAGAATCACCCATATGGGCATGTGAGCATTTTGCCCTCAGTGGGAAATGATCCTGCTGGCATTTGTATATCTGTTGACTCTWCCTTACTACAGCCATAAGTGGCATTTGTGTATCACACAGAGAATTTTTTTTTAATATTTATTTTTTAGTTTTTGGCAGACACAACATCTTTGTTTGTATGTGGTGCTGAGGATTTAACCCGGGCCGCACGCATGCCAGGCGAGCGCGCTACTGCTTGAGCCACATCCCTAGCTCCACACAGAGAATTTTCAAGTGTGTGCTTTGTAGCAACTATGTCCCTCCCACGGCTGTGTCCACCTTAGTGAGTACAGCAGGCCGGAGAGACTCCCAGATCATGGGTTTTTTTTGTAGATGAAGTGCGCACRGGGACCTACAGGCAGCTCTTCCACCCAGAGCAGCTGATTACTGGGAAGGAAGATGCTGCCAATAATTATGCCAGAGGCCATTACACTATTGGCAAGGAGATCGTGGACCTGGTCTTGGACAGGATCCGCAAACTGGTAAGAAGAGCACCAAGGAAGCTTCTTGAAGAGGTTCCAGGGTGGGGGGGACGGTGGGCCTTGGATTGTGAAGGGGAGGTCATCTGGGGAGGTCTTAGGTCAGGTTCTGGGATCTGACCAAGTCTGCAGAGTCTTCTTGTATGGTGTCTGCTGAGATGCATTGATAGCTGTCTCTTGTCTGCTTTGGCTTCTGAGGGTAATGCCTGCTGGTTAGGCACTTTATTTGAGTCCATGTGAACTTGTGAGAGCACAGAGAAGAGAGCCTGGCCTGTTGGAGTTTGGTGGTGTGTCTTCCACAGCCTTTGGCTCACATTGTGTGGTTTCTTGCAGGCGGATCTGTGCACAGGACTGCAGGGCTTCCTCATCTTCCACAGCTTCGGAGGCGGCACRGGCTCCGGGTTYGCTTCTCTGCTCATGGAGCGGCTGTCAGTGGACTATGGCAAGAAGTCCAAGCTGGAATTTGCCATCTACCCAGCTCCGCAGGTTTCCACAGCYGTGGTAGAGCCCTACAACTCCATCCTGACCACCCACACGACCCTCGAGCACTCTGACTGTGCCTTCATGGTGGACAACGAAGCCATCTATGACATCTGTCGGCGCAACCTGGACATCGAGCGGCCCACGTACACCAACCTCAATCGTCTCATTGGGCAGATCGTGTCCTCCATCACGGCCTCCCTGCGGTTTGATGGGGCCCTGAACGTGGATCTGACGGAATTCCAGACCAACCTGGTGCCTTACCCCCGCATCCACTTCCCCCTGGCCACCTACGCCCCAGTCATCTCGGCAGAGAAAGCCTATCATGAGCAGCTCTCAGTGGCCGAGATCACCAATGCCTGCTTTGAGCCGGCCAACCAGATGGTGAAGTGTGACCCTCGCCATGGCAAGTACATGGCCTGCTGCATGTTGTACAGGGGAGACGTGGTCCCAAAAGATGTCAATGCAGCCATCGCCACCATCAAGACCAAGCGCACTATCCAGTTTGTGGATTGGTGCCCAACAGGGTTTAAGGTAGGATTGGTACTTTTTAGTCACCATGCTAGTCAGGGAGCAGCATGGTGCTGACTCTGAAGGCACACCTCCTTCAGGGAGATTGCCTCTTTTCATGTTAATGAGACTGCAAGGAGAGTAGGTTTAGTAATTGATTAGCTAATAGCCTCATACTTCATCAAATACATTCATTCTATGCACTCCTTTCTTAAAACCATGCTTTAAAGTTGATGGTGAGGTTGGTGTTACCAGTTTCTTAATAGTTTATAAGACTGAGGCTGAGACACCTTTAAGTGTCCAAAGCCTCAGGGGCCTGCAAGTGATGGGAAGGAGAATTTAGAAATGGTCTGACAGCAGATCCTGATTTCCCTCACCTCATTGCTGGCTTTAGACATTTGTCAGGGCCTATGATTCCATTTTGGTTGGTCCAAATGGTAGATTTTTACTTTACTTGATGTTGGTCACCTGTTGTCTCTGAATTTTAGGCATTACTTATGTTTTTGTGCATGGATTGTTAAACGTGTATCTCAATGTTTTTTTATTTTAAAAATTTTAGTTGTAGATGGGCACAATTCCTAATTTATTTATTTAGTGGTGCTGAGGATCAACCCTAGTGCTCCATGCCTATGAGGCAAGTGCTCTACTACTGAGCCACATCCCCAGCCCTAAGCATTTAAGTATGGGAAAAAGGGTAGGTTGCTCTTATCTCCCCAAACCAGGCTGGGATCTCTGTCTCATACACAAAATCACAATGAAAATTTCAAGGTTCCCTTAGCCATGTTTAATGACTACTATGGGGAAAGCACCATGTATGTGGAAGCCATCCTAGACTCTCAGGCTGTAACACCTGTTGGATTATCAGACTAAATGCTTCCCTATACCTGTGTTCCTCAACTCTTTACCCTCTGGTTTGTGGATATCAGTCCTTATTTACAATAGTTTTCCATTTAGACAAAGCTTTGTGCCCCAATTTTTTTTAGGAACCAGTGATTGAACACAGTGGCTCTTAACCACTGGGCCACATCCCCAACACTTTTTGTATTTTATTTTGAGACAGAGTCTCCCTAAGTTGCTTAGATACTCGTTGAACTGTTAAGGCTGACTTTGAACTCTGAATCCTGCTGCCTCAACCTCCCAAGTTGCTGGGATTACAGGTGTGCGTCACCAAGCCCAACTGGGCCCCACATTTGTAAGCCCTGATGAGTTCCTGAGGTGTTGGGGGAGGTAAAGTTCCAGGGTCATTCCAGACTAAAAACTGGGAATGTGTGTTAATCATCTTCTGATGTGGAATGGCCATGGCTTGCCTATTACTATAGGAAGCGTTTTGAAACTTCTCAGCCCCAGTTCACAAAGACATCTGCACACAGATTATTGGTAAGAGGGTATTTTTAATTTGATGTCTTTAAAGTAACTCATAAAAGCAGGTAAAATTTACTACAGACTTTGCTGACCTTGAAGTAGTCATCAAATGTAATACAGGGGTTAGCAGACGCTAATTAGAGGTTACAGGTAGTTGTTGAAACTTTCCATTCTGTTTCTAATTTTTAAGCCTTTGGATTGAGCAGCAAGAATATTTTTCCAGTAAGTGTGACATTTGGGAGTTGAGGACATATAAAGCAGCCTCAGTTGGCAGGGCATGTACAAGATGCTTGCCTAGGTTTGCTGTCCTAGCTGAGTTGTTCTAAGAGACAGCAAGGAGGCAAGTCTGTAGGAAAGTGTCACAGCCTCTGCTGTCCCCTTATAGAAGACCATCCAGCACCAGGTGGGCCTTGTTGAATTCTCCTTGCTCTAAGTTCTTTTTTGTCAGAGTATGACTTGGCACCCATTCTTTTGCAACCATTTGCTGAGGGATACACTATTTTCAAGGAGTCTCTTCCATTAAAACCATGTGGCTTTTTTTTTTTTTTAAATGCTCAACATCTTTTGTTTTTATTTATTTATTGTATGTGGTGCCAGGAATCAAACGCAGTGCCCCATGCATGTTAGGCAAATGCTCTACCACTGAGCCACAGCCCTGACCCATTTTATTTTA